GAGTAGCTCCTAGAGCTAATACAAAATATGTAGTCATTGAAAGTTTACTTTCATTACTAAAGCTTCCAGATAATTTTTATGTGCAGTTGTCAGACTAACAACACAGCATATCGCAAGTTATTGATGTTTCTTCCTCCAGTTTTAAAGTCACACTCATTTTCTTCCATGTCTGTCTGTCTATTGCATTTATTGTATCTATTGTATCATCTGTCGGTCTGTCTGTCCGTTCATCTATCCATCCATCCATCATCTATCCATAGATCTATCCATAGATCTATCTATCTATCTATCTATCTATCTATCTATCTATCTATCTATCTATCTATCTATCTATCTATCTATCTATCTTTTTTCTGTTCTGTCAATCAACTACAGTAACTATCCACCATCTCTATCATCTATTGTATTTATCTGTCCATTGTATCTATCTATCCATCCATCTTTTGTATCTGTCAATCCATTCTATCTATCTATCCATCCATCTACAATATCTAGCCACCGTATCTTATCATCTATTCTAGTCATCCATTCATCCATCCACACTCTCTCTATCCCGTCTGTCTGCCTGTCCCTATAATCTCTGTTAATCTACCCGTCTATCTATCATCTATCTCACAACTCAATGTCCATTTTCAAGAAACGTTGTTTTGAAAGCAGTTAACCACTTCATTTGTCGTTTTTAAAGATCTCTGAATGCCAGAATGTTTCCGCAGTAAACATTTTGTGTTTACGTATTGCAAAAAATGATACTGAAATAAAGTGTTTACGGGTTACGCCTGGAAGCTCCTGAAAGCTCGCAAAAACAGCTCAGAAATTTCTCCTGCCAAGTTGGCTGCTGGTTAGATGTCATTTAATGGGGCACGCTTGGAATGTTGAAATAGGCTGTGGTCACTTTTACATTTGCTGCTTTAATAGGGCCCGTGAGCTCCCACGCCAATAATGAGGCTGGTGATTTTTTTATTTCACGAGGCTTATGAGTCTCAAAGGAGTCCTAAGAGCAACTTGGAAATGTGGGCATTGCTGAGATGGCTACCTTGCTTCCCGGCAGGCCAGCTTCTTCTTAAAAATTGCGAGGAAAAAGAAAAGGAGGCAGGGGAAGTACTGGATACCAACAGAGCTCAGCGTTACCATAGCAGGATATCCCTCGGGCAATATTGAGCTAACTAGAGCATTCATGCGTTTTGATTTAAAATACCTTTCTATGCTGCTAGATAGAGGTGAGTAAGTTGAGTCTGGAAAGAAAGGTGCAATTTTCCTTCAATCGTCTCCTGAGAACTTGGAAGAGTTTCAGCAAAATATTGCTGGAAAGAAAAAATCAGTTGTGCTATATCTTTGAGCAATACACCCCAACTCTTAAGAGCAGTGGTTTGTTGTTGTTAGTTGCGAAGTCGTGTCCGACCCATCGTGACCCCATGGACCATGTTCCTCCAGGCCTTCCTGTCCTCTACTATCTTCTGGAGTCCATTGAAGCTCACGCCTCCTGCTTCAGGGACTCCATCCAGCCACCTCCTTCTCTGTCGTCCCCTTCTTCTCTTGCCCTCCATCTTTCCCAGCATCAGGCTCTTCTCCAGGGAGTCCTTCCTTCTCATGAGGTGGGTGGGTGGATGGATGGATGGATAGATAGATAGATATGGATAGATTGATGTTGTTAGTTGCGAAGTCGTGTCCGACCCATCGTGACTCCCTGGACCATGTTCCTCCAGGCCTTCCTGTCCTCTACTATCTTCTGGAGTCCATTGAAACTCACGCCTCCTGCTTCATTGACTCCATCCAGCCTCCTCCTTCTCTGTCGTCCCCTTCTTCTCTTGCCCTCCATCTTCCCCAGCATCAGGCTCTTCTCCAGTGAGTCCTTCCTTCTCATTAGGTGGCCAAAGTCCTTGAGTTTCCACTTCAGGATCTGGCCTTCTAAAGAGCAGTCGGGGTTGATCTCCTCCAGGACTGACCGGTTGGATCACCTTGCAGTCCAGGGGACTCGCAGGAGTCTTCTCATTGGGAGAGAGGGATTTTTGTTTCCCTTCTGTTAATTCACATTAGTCTATGTAGGCCAGCTAACAAAGGCCCATTAAACCAGGTTATTCTGTTTTGCTTTGGTTTCTTGTACGGATCCTGCATTACCGAAAGCTTGGGCACGTTAAGAAATTATCAGTGTGGTAACCAAAACAAATAGCATCCCTTTGGTGTAGATATGGGGTTACTCCTGGATTATTCTGTATTCTTTTCCCTCATGCTTTAAACAAGACAAAGACAATAATTCTATAGGGTAAATTTGGTGTAACAGGGGCACGCAAACAGACGAAGTATCTCAAAAGTGCTTTTTCAAAAGGCAACTAGATTTTGTTTTTTCCTTTGAACACGTTTTACTTCTCATCCACATAAGAAAACCAACTCTGAAATGAAATATCTAAAAGGAACATTTACAAATTCCACCAAAGGATCTTGAACTGAAACACTTTGTGTTTCAGGGAACTGGACATTTCCTTTGAACACGTTTTACTTCTCATCCAAGAAGCTTCTTCAGTTCTGACTGAATGGTGGAGGATGGAAGGGTTTCTATTTCTTGTAGTCATCTGGTTGTTAGCACTCTCTCTGAGGGTTGTTGAGGCAACGTGGACGTTTATCTGTGTCCTCAGGGTCACCTGAGTGGTGCAAATGGGTGTGGAGCCTTCTTGGAACTGCTGAAAGGACTGTGTTGTAAACGGGAGATAAGAGGTATCATAACTAAACGTCTAAGTGGCCTCAATGACTCTCAGAAAGAGTACGAACAACCAGATAATAATAATAATAATAATAATAATAATAATAATAATAATAATAATAATAATAATAATAAAAGACCTACAAATAGAAATAGAAAGACTGTGGCAAAAGCAAGCAAGGGTAGTACCAATAGTCATAGGCGCCTTGGGTGCAATCCCAAAACAACTGGAGCACCACTTGAACACCATCGGTATTGACAAATTCGCCATTAGTCAATTGCAAAAGGCGGCCTTACTAGGATCTGCTTCCATCCTGCGACGATATCTGTAATACCATCAAACATCCACATCTGCCTATCCCAGGTCCTGGGTAAGGACTCGATAGGTAGACAAAATGCCAAATCCAGTCTGAACATCTGGCTGACTGTGCGATGATCCATAAGAATAATAATAATAATAAAGTTGGAAGGGATCTTGAATGTCATCTAGTCCAACCCCCTGCTCAGGTAGGTAACCCTGTACCATTTCGGACAAATGGCTGTCCAGTCTCTTCTTAAAAACTTCCAGTGTTGGAGCATTCACCGCTTCTGGAGGCAGGTGGTTCCACTGGTTAATTGTTCTCACTGTCAGGAAATTTCTCCTTAGTTCTAGGTTGCTTCTCTCTTTGGTTAGTTTCCACCCGTTGCTTCTTGTCCTGCCTTCAGGCGCTTTGGAGAATAGCTTGACTCCCTCTTCTTTGGGGCAGCCCCTGAGATACTGGAACATTGCTATCATGTCCCCCCTTGTCCTTCTCTTCATTAAACTGGACATTCCCAATTCCAGCAGCCTTTCCTTATATGCTTTAGCCTCCAGCCCCCTAATCATCTTTGTTGCTCTTCTCTGCACTCTTTCTAGAGTCTCAATATCTTTTTTACATTGTGGTGACCAAAACTGGATGCAGTATTCCAAGTGTGGCCTTACCAAGGCCTTGTAAAGTGGTATTAACACTTCACGTGATCTTGATTCTATCCCTCTGTTAATGCAGCCCAGCACTGTGTTGGTTTTTTTGGCAACTGCAGCACACTGATTGCTAGGAATATAAATCCTTCCATCCTCCACCATTCAGTCAGAACTGAAGAAGCTTCTTGGAGGAGAAGTGAAAAGTCTTCAAGGAAAAAATCCAAGTCCACTTCCCTTTTGAAAAAGCACCTTTGCGACAATCATCACCCGGATGACTAGGAATCTTCATCGACACACACAAAAGCGTTTCAGTTCAAGATCCTTTGGTGGAATTTGTAAATGTTCCTTTTGGATAGTTCATTTCAGAGCTGACTTTCCTATGTGGAGATCAAGTGAAACTAGATCTTGCAATCTCGGTCATTCCAAATTAGATATGAAAATAGGGCCAGTGTGATCTGATTTTGAGACAGATCCTTTCGATCTTTCTAATGCGTCAGCTCTTCAACAGTAGAACAGATTGTCTTGGGAGGCTGCAGACTCTTCTTCCTCTGGAGCAGTAGTTCTCAACCTTTGTAATGCCGCGACCCCATAATACAGTTCCCCATGTTGTGGTGACCCCCAACCACTTATACATCACCGGGTGCCAGGGGCGTGGCCAAAGAAAAGGGGGAAAAATGGCAGACAGCCTTGTTTGGCGACCCCCGTGAAATGGTCGTTCGACCCCAAATGGGGTCCCGACCCACAGGTTGAGAACCACTGCTCTGGAGTTTTTAAGCAGAGGCTGGACAGAATTTGGCACGGATTCAGCAGTTGACACTAGTCCTGCAGTTCGTATAACGACCACATTAACCCTTTTTTAAAAAATAAAAAAACCACTGTGTTTCTCTGTGGTGTTTAAGAAATTTAATCAATTTAAAAAAAAGGCCACATTACAGACCAAAGCTTTCAAGAACAAAATAACATACAGTAAAAATCCACCATTTAAACGAGCGTGGATATAAATATCGTAATTAGACACTGCTTAAACACCTTTACCGCATTATTTTATCGTAGTCTTACTCCTTCCAATGCTTTCTCCTGGGTAATTTGGCTTCAGTTATTTTATTTACTATTTCATTTTTCTTAGACAAGAAGAAAAGAGCCAGCCCAGGAGAGTCAGACAAGACAAAGGGAAGAACTGGCATCCCACCTATATTACTTTTGACTTGAAAAGGTGGAATTTTGGAGACTTCCACTGAATACCTGAAAGCAGGCAGTTTGGTAAATAAGTATGAAGAACCAAAAATAAGCAAACGTAACGTGAAGAAACAAATAGTCCATGTAACTTTTAATATGAGTTAAAAACCATGCTTTTCTTAACTTTCAGCATGTGGCTTGAATGCTAGGCAGGCTACTTACATTACGGCTTATTTGCTAGTCGTTGCCTCTACTTGACTCAGAGAAGGGATGTTCAATTTTGCTTAAAGGGAGCGTTGAGTTTCCAATCTGAGCAAGCCATCTTTCAAGGGGGGGGGGTCTTCTCTGGTCTTCAGAGAGTATGAAACTTGGGTCCCGCAGTCACTATAATGTCGGCGTAAGGAGCTGATTGGGCCACCTCAATCGCTCGCTGTTTCTGTAGAACCAGCAAGCTGTAGAAGCTCTCCGCCACTTCTTTCTTGCACTGGTTCTGGCACAGGGAGAGAAAGCTGAACGACTTTGCTCCTTGCTGTTCGAAGTGCTGCGAGGGAAAAAGAAGAAACAAAAGAAGTAACTAAGACAGGTGTGTTACGAGCGGAGGCTAATTCTGTATCTGAAGTGGACAATAAGCAGCTTTATGAGAGAAGCGGTGTCCTTTTTGCAGTTCATACGGATCAAGTGCTGGAGAAGACTCCTGCAAGTCCCCTGGACTGCAAGGCGATCCAACCGGTCAGTCCTAGAGGAGATCAACCCTGACTGCTCTTTAGAAGGCCAGATCCTGAAGTGGAAACTCAAGTACTTTGGCCACCTAATGAGAAGGAAGGACTCACTGGAGAAGGGCCTGATGCTGGGAAAGATGGAGGGCAAGAGAAGAAGGGGACGACAGAGAAGGAGGTGGCTGGATGGAGTCACTGAAGCAGGAGGCGTGCGCTTCAATGGACTCCAGAAGATGGTAGAGGACAGGAAGGCCTGGAGGAACGTTGTCCATGGGGTCGTGATGGGTCGGACAGGACTTCGCAACTAACAACAACAGATCAAGAACTGTCGATAGGAAAATGAATAGAGAGTCTAAGATGATAGAACCAATCTGCAGAATTGGAAACAAAGTCCTATGTTGTCAAGCATGTAGCCAGAAGGGACAATCCACTAGCTAAATCCGCTCGTATCCTCATGTCCTTCCGGAAGAGCCTGAAGATCTGGCTCTGCCTATTGGTTTGGAGCCCAGAAGGGGGCGTTCCATTCTGGAGAGGGCTAGTAAATGAGATGATCCATCTCCATCCTGTTTATGCCTTGGTCCAGTCTGCTCTCCATTTGAATGTCCTAATTTGTAATGCTTAACGTTTTAATATTTTTGTCCTAATTGTATTAAGTACCTTATGATGCTTCTTTTTTATTTTTTTTAACGTTTTATTGATTTTCTAATTTTACATTTAAGTATTTATAAAAAGCAACGTGGCAGCTGAGTTAATCCATAATTCAATGACATACAAGTATCTTTAGTACAAGTCTCAACTACCACATTAAAGATTTCCTGTTTCCCCCTTAGTGTTTACTGTCTCGTGTTTAAATTAATACAATTCTTATTGTATCAATTAAATAAAAATAACATCCTTACATTTATCAATAATTTTTAGCTTATACATATCCTGGTTATTTTGACACTCAGTCTTTATAGGCCAGGGGTGTCAAACTCAATTTCATTGAGGGCCACATCAGCATTGTGGTTGCCCTAGGGGGGAGTGCGGCCTACTGGGTGGGCGTGGATGGAGTGGGTGTGGCCTACTGGGTGGGCATGGCCAGCTCTACATCGTTCGCGTCAAGGATGCCTGTGGGGGCCTGGGCAGGAGTGGGATAGATATGAGGGTCTCTGGCAGAAGGGGGGTGGACCAGAGCAGAGCCCATCAAGCCGGATATGTGAAGTAGGCGAGGGCCATTTGCTGGCCACTTCCAGGCGGTGGTCCATTTCTTCATTCCTCACAAAGGGTGACCCCTCCCCAGCATGCACCCAGGGGGCGGGGCCGACATGGCAGGGGCCGGTTCCTCGCTGTTTCCAGACGGCCTTGTGGAGCTAAGACTGAATGCGTTTCAGCATAGATGGCCACCACAAAATTGTACATTGGCTCCTGGCCGGCCTGGGCCAGGGCCAAGGCAGCGGGGGCCGTTCCCTCACTGTTTCCAGGATGGATTCATGGGCCACATGAAACTATGTCGCGGGCCGCATCCGGCCCTCGGGCCGTGTGTTTGACATGTCTGTTATAGGCAATCAATGTCCTAATTAGTTTCCCCCAATTTTTAGTTTCCCATTAATATTTAACATTTAATATTTATAATTTCCAAGTTTTAAGTAACCAAAGTTCCCTTTATCCCAATTCATCACAAAGTCTAATATTTAGGATACACGTCTTAAGCTTATGATGCTTCTTATGTAGTGCTCAACTTATGACTACAACTGAGTCCAAAATTTCTGTTGCCAAGCAAGGCAGATGTTAAGTGACTTTTGTCCCGTTTGATGACTTTTCTTGCCACAGTTGTTAAGTGAATCACTGCAGTAGTTAAGTCAGTAACATGGTTGTTAGGTGGATCTAGCTTCTCTGTTGACTTTGCTTTTCACAAGGTTGCAAAGGTCACCATGTGACCCCAGGACACTGCGACTATAGCAATAGCCCTTAGACCAGTGTTTCTCAACCTTGACCATTTTAAGGCATGTGGACTTCAACTCCCAGAATTCCACAGCCAGCAATGCTGGCTGTGGAATTCTGGGAGTTGAAGTCCACATGCCTTAAAATGGTCAAGGTTGAGAAACACTGCCTTAGACTTATATACCGCTTCACAGTACTTTACAGACCTCTCTAAATAGTTTAGAGTCAGCATATGGCGCCCAATAATCTGAGCCTTCATTTTACTGATCTTGGAAGGATGACTGGGCAAGTCAACCCTGAGCCAGTCAGGATCGAATTCTTGGCAGTGGGCAGAGTTAGAGTTCTAACCCAGAGGTCACCAACTTTTCTTGATTGGCGGACCGGAGGAAAAGGAGGGGGAAGCATTATACGTGCATGTGCAGGTGCATTCGTCCGCATGGGGCGACGGGCATGTGCCTGATGCAAATGGGGGCGGGGCTAGTGCTTGTGTGATACTCGCTAGCCCTGCCTCGTTCTTGTGCACGGCGCTTTCTGCGCCCCGAAGCACGGCGCCGGACTGTTTTCGCGCATCGAGGTGTGGCGGCATACCATTTTTGCACCCTGAGGTTTTCTCCAGCACCATAGTTCAAAGGCCTCCATTCTTTGGTGCTCAGCCTTTCTTACGGTCCAGCTTTCACAGCCATACATTGCAACTGGGAAAACCAGGGCCTTGACTATACGCACTTTTGTTGGCAGGGTGATGTCTCTGCTTTTTAGTATGCTGTCTAGATTTGCCATAGCTTTCCTCCCCAGAAGCAAGCATCTTTTAATGTCTTGACTGCAGTCCCCCCAGCTACTTTTGTTGTTGTTAGTTGCGAAGTCGTGTCCGACCCATTGCAACCCCATGGACTACATTCCTCCAGGCCTTCCTGTCCTCTACCATCTTCTGGAGTCCAAGCTCACGCCTCCTGCTTCAGGGACTCCATCCAGCCCCCTCCTTCTCTGTCGTCCCCTTCTTCTCTTGCCCTCCATCTTTCCCAGCATCAGGCTCTTCTCCAGGGAGTCCTTCCTTCTCATTAGGGGGCCAAAGGACTTGAGTTTCCACTTCGGGATCTGGCCTTCTAAAGAGCAGTCGGGGTTGATCTCCTCCAGGACTGACCGGTTTGAACGTCTTGCAGTCCAGGGGACTCGCAGGAGTCTTCTCCAGCACCAGAGTTCAAAGGCCTCCATTCTTCGGTGCTCAGCCTTTCTTATGGTCCAACTTTCACAGCCATACATTGCAACTGGGAAAACCATGGCCTTGGCTATACGCCCTTTTGTTGGCAGGGTGATGTCTCTGCTTCTTAGTATGCTGTCTAGATTTGCCATAACTTTCCTCCCCAGGAGCAAGCGTCTTTTAATGTCTTGGCTGCAGTCCCCATCTGCGGTGGTCTTGGAGCCCAGGAAGATAAAATCTGTCACTACCTCCATTTCTTCCCCATCTATTTGCCAGGAATTGAGAGGGCTGGATGCCATGATCTTGGTTTTCTTAATGTTGATTTTCAGTTCAGGAAAAGTAGGATAAGTCCCCAGCCGTTTAGGAATAAAAGCAGGCTAGAATTACGGCTTGGTAAAAATGATAAAAGACCTTAACATGATGTTGGATTATATTTCTAAAACACACTATCTGCCACTTCACGAAGAGCTTTGGCTTGAGCCTGGGGCACAGCAAAGAGGATAATTTTACAGAAATAAAATGACAAATATCCTCTGGATTTCAAGGGACAAATTCTGGAGAAGTTTTTGAAAAGTCTTTGCAGCTTAAAATGTGAAGATGAAGCAGTCTTTTATTAGATGGTTCTAGATTTAATAATGTGCTTAGATATTGAATTTATTTTTATTAATAGGTTCATAGCTTTTATATAGGTCTCTTCTCTTACCGTTTCTGCCTTTTCCCAATTCACATTTGTTTTAATCACTATAGTATATTTACAGTTTTTCCATTATTTTATGTGTTTGTGTGTGTGAATTCATTCTATTTATGTTGTTTTCTATATTTTATTATCAACAATAATGTTTAAAACTAGAAAGAAAGGTTTATTATAGTCTATTATATCTTACCCGGAAAGTATTTAATAGTTTTAGTGTTCTCTTACTTCTTCTTTGTTCTTCGTAGTCCAAATGACTTGTCTGATATCCCTATATCACAGATTAAAACAATCACTTAGTTGTAAAATTCATCTGAACGATAATGAAAGGAAGCATAAAAAAAAATAAAGCATAGTCATATGTCATTAATGTCTTCCCAAATCTTGTGACTGTCTTCTAGTTAGCATTCTCTCTAGGAAATTTCACTATGAACATTTGTTCTACATAACTGATTTGGCAAAGCGAGCTACATAACTAAATTCCCCATACTTCAATAAAGTTGATTAAATGTATCAGTACAAATGTCCATACAACATAGAAGTATCAGAGACGTTATTTACTTTTTTTGAAACTATATCTGGTTATCCTTAAAGGGCTTTAAAAAAAAAAGAAATAGCTTACAACACAATGAACAAAGGATAATGCAAATCACATTCAAATCAAAAATACAAATTAAATTTTATTATTCCATTGATATTACCAGCTGAGCAAAAAAAGAAAAAAATCCTAAGAAAGCATCCCGGTTGCCACTATGCTCTTGCAGCATTTGCAACCTGTGTGGTGCCTCTAGGCCACCCTCCCTATGCGTACTTCTCCCTGACCCACATGAATAGAGCTGGAAGTGACCTTGGAGGTCTTCTAGTCCAGCCCCCTGCTCAAGCAGGAGAACCTACACCGTCTCAGATAAGTGATTGTCCAGTCTCTTCTTAAAAACCTCCAGTGATGGAGCGCCCACGATTTCTGGTGGCAAGCTTAATTGTCCTCACTGTCAGGAAGTTTCTCCTTAATTCCAGGTTGCTTCTCTCCTTGATCAATTTCCAACCATTATTTCTCGTCCTTCCCTCCGGGGCTCTGGTGAACAATGTGATCCCCTCTTCTTTGTGGCAGCCCCTCAAATACTGGAACACTGCTATCGTGTCTCCCCTATTTCTTTTCTTTAGACTAGCCAAACCCAAGTCCTGCAGCCGTTCTTCGTATGTTTTAGTCTCCAGGCCTCTGATCATCTTACCTGCTCTTCTCTGAATTTTTTCCAGTCTCTCAACATCTTTTTTGTAATATGGTGACCAAAATTGGCTGCAGTATTCCAGGTGTGGCCTTACGAGGTATCTCTTATGCACCAATGTGCACCCTCCTCAACCTGTACCCCTCATCTTACTCTGATCTATGCAGTACCTTTCCCACACCCTTTTGCACACATCTCCTGCACCGCTCTTGTGCATTCCCATACACTCTCCCCATCCTCTGCCCTTCCCCTCCCTTCCTCCCCTGTCTAGCAGCAGTCACCTGCCTGCGGGGCCAGGGTCTTGTTATTTCCTGTCAGGCTTCCCCGCTGACTTTGGTTGTGGGGAAGCGATCAGGAAGTTGCATTGCCTAATGAGAATGGGATTCAGTGAATGATAGTAACTGGGATTGCAAGTACTGCCATTGCTAAGGTTAAGTGATGATGGAAAGAGGGGATATGGAGAGGTATGGGGGTGGGGGAGGCTTAGCCCAGCGATTGGAGATCTTCCCTGCTGTTGTCTCCTTTTGAGTTTCTGGGGAAGCCGGTAGGGAAAGTTGCAAATTTAGGTGTGCTTGGCAACTGGTTGTGAAAATGGGTTGCCAAACACCACAGATCGCGGTCATGTGACTGCGGGGATGCTGGGATAGCCAGAGATTCAAGGAGCGGACATTTAGTGGTGTGTGGGTGTGTGTGTGTTTTCTGAGGTTTTCGCGGGTGTTTGTATGTAGGTCTTTGGTTATTCGGGTTTTCTCCTGCATCAAATTGGAAGTGTATTGGCGACATTTCGACGAAGTCCCATTCGTCATCTTCGGGCTGGTGTTTTCGGCTTCTTGCTTCTAGGAGCAATGTGTGATCGTAGCTGTTTCTTCCTTTTAACTGCTAGTGGGGGTATGAACTGATTGTTGATGAACGACAGCAATGCAGCTCACCATCTCAAATCCCCCTGCAACTCAGACTAACCCAAGCACAACAAAGCCCCCACCCAAACAGAACACTCCCCCATCCAATCAGAGCACAGCCAACCCCCCATCCAATCAGAGCACAGCCAAGCCCCTAACCAATCAGAACACACCTCCACCCAATCAGAACACAGCCAAGCTCCCATCCAATCAGTTCATACCCCCACTGGCAGTTAAAAGGAAGAAACAGCTACGATCACACATTGCTCCTAGAAGCACGAAGCCGAAAACACCAGCCTGAAGATGACGAATGGGACTTCGTCGAAACGTCGCCAAGACACTTCTAATTTGACGCAGGAGAAAACCTGAATAACCAAAGACCTACATATAAACACCCGCGAAAACCTCAGAAAACATATATATTCGGAAAAGAGTAGTATAAGTAGGTTAACCTTCCCCCTGGGTCCATTGTCCAGATTCAGATTATCCCACAAGTGGTCACTATTCTCCCGTGAAGAAGGTTAGATGATTGTAAACATTACATTTTCCAAGACAGCTTGCTCGTTCTCGGATTCTTGTTGTACTGAAAATGGCAAGAGGTCATCGGACCAAGCAAATACTTCATTAACCGATTCCTGGTATTAAAACAAGAGGGGGGAAAGTGGATCGGTGCCAGCTCTGCTGTTCTGCTCCTGTGTTTATTATTCTGCAGCAAATGAACTGTTAAAATGGAGTCTATATTTCTCTGCTGAATGTTATACTTCACACACACACAAAAAAAGAAATAATGAGAAAATAATGGAAGGGGCAAGTGGAAAACATGACATCCTGTTGCAAACAATTCTGTGTTTCAGGCAATTCTTAATTAGAAACACAAAATATTATGACTTCTTTTTTTCTCTGAGACCCTTCACACCCCTAAAATTTCTCCTTCAGTATACTGAGGGTTGAACTGAAGCTATGAAATCCCCATTCAACTGGATAGCTTATCACCTCACCAGATAAGTTGAGATCAAATTTTATCTTTTAATCCAACCATCATGAAAAAAAAAACGGGGTTAGAAGCGCCATATAATCATTCCTGCAGGCAAATCAGATATAAACCCCATTTATCTGGGCATTTGTGAATGAAATTATATAGTCCATAATATTTATGAACTGTCTCTTTATCAAATTTACATTTTAACTGTGGCTCATCGTTGTTATAAATGTCAATGTTGTAAGTCATCAGGAATTATGCTTTGATATGGAAAAAGCCACAAATAGATACTTTAATAAGTAAATATAAATAAGTGATCATTTAAGTGACCGTACCCAGATGAGCTTGTGATCTCTAAAAGTTAAGCAGGGAAGGATTTGGCTAATATTAGTAAAAATACTAATCAAATAGGAATATCAGGACCTGGAAAGTTTGAAAGTCAAAAATATATCCGTCTCACTCCTGTTCAAGAGTGTGATGGACTTTTAGGCATCTGGGATGTTAAATATTAACATTTTAGAAGATTTAGGACAGTGATGGCGAACCTTTTAGAGACCAAGTGCCCAAACTGCAACCCAAAACCCACTTATGCATCGTCGGGTGCCGGGTGGGTGTAGCCCACTGGGTGGGTGTGGTCCATTGGGTGGGTGTGGCTACGGTGGTAACGGCAGACTGGGTGGGACTAAAAAGTTCAATCAATCAATTCCAACTTTGCAAGATCTTTTTTTTTCCCACGAGAAGTTGAAATTGACTGATTGAACCTTTTTTTTTTTTGCACACAGTGGTGGAGGCCTAAAGCGAAAAGGTTTTATAAAACCCAGCTGAAGGCCTAGGACTGGGGCGATGGCATGCGTGCTCACAAAGAGGGCTCTGAGTGCTGCCTCTGACACCCATGCCATAGGTTCACCACCACTGGTTTAGGAGGAGGAAGCTGTAATTTGTCAAGCCCAGTTTACCCATTTTGATGGAAATACACCTATTGCTTAAGTTTATTAAAGCTTAATTTGTTCTGAAAGTACTTACCATAGTTTTAAAAACTGTATTATCATCCCTTTCGTTTCTGCTGCTTTGTAATACAGATTCCGTTTGGGGATAATTTGTGTCCTGCGGTATATTTAAACTTTCTGCTATTGATAGTTCTATATTGATAATAAAAGAAAGAAGTTAAATTCTTGCCCAATGTACTTACCAATTAATTGCCATTAGCGATAAATAATCATATGCATATAATCTCAGCTTATACTATTTAAGTTTTGAAATGTTCAAGGTGTCCAAATTGCAGTTCACCATACTCTAGTCAAACATTTAAGTTTTTTTTTCACTTATGAGGTCTTTATTCCCATCATCTTTACTAGATAGAAAAGGATGTAAAACAAATGTACTAAAAATGTAAAGAAAAATGTGAATGATTTAAATTTAACAACGAATGCAATGTTAGCCATAAGCTAGCCCCCACCCCTTCTTCTGGTACCACTTCAAGATACTTTTTGTAAAAAAAAAAAGTTCTTCAATCTTTTATTTCGAAATTATCCTCAGTTGTAGTTTTATCTTCTTTAGGTAAAAATGATCCCCCCGCCCAGCTACTTTGGGATATTTTATTCACATTAGCTTTGCAGATTTGATTATATTTCTGTATTCCTTTAGATGCTCTTAAAACTGATCTAAATTGAAGAGAAGGTTGAGAGATCCTATTTTTTTTAAATATAAGCTTTATTTTGTCTTAAAAATGGACATAATTCTTTGAATTAACATAAAGATGTAACCCTTGCTACAGATAGTCCTTGATTTAAGACAGATCACTTAGTGCAGTGGTTCTCAGCCTGTGGGTCGGGACCCCATTTGGGGTCGAACGATCATTTCATGGGGGTCGCCAAACAACGCAGTCCGCCATTTCCCCCCCCCCCTTTTCCTTAGCTGTGCTACTCCCTTTTATTCTATTGGCTTTTGAAAGCCAATGAATAGACTCTCTTGAATAGAGTCTCATTCTATTGGCTTTCAAAAGCCAATAGGAATTGTCCAGGCTGTCTCTGCCCTGCTGAGCCCACCAAAAGTCCCATTCTGCAAATGGTGCTGCACCAGTTGAGTAGTCCTCGACTCATGACTGGTTGAGTAGTCCTCGACTTACGAATGGTTGGGGGTCGCGGCATTAAAAAGGTTGAGTACCACTGACTTAGTGACTGTTTGAAGTTATGATCTATCTGAAAAAGAGAACAGGATTCAAATCTGAAATTCTGATGATTGGCTTCCCCTCCTCACAGTCATGTGACCACACTTTGGGAGCTTGGCAACACAGCCACATTTATGACTGCTTGCAACATCCTGTGGTCACTTGACAGCATTTTGTGGAAAACTAGCACTTACTTCCAGTTTTGGGCAAAACCGAGTCCATAGCAAACAATGGGCTTGCACTTATGACTGCCATGCTTGCTTAACGACGGCAAAAATGGTCACATAACCAACCCGTGTGTCCAGCATTATAGCGACAGCACTTAGCAATAGCACAAGACTTATGTACTGCTTCATAGTGCTTTACAGCCCACTCTAAGCAGTTTGCAGAGTCAGCCTATTTGCCCCTAACAATCTGGGTCCTCATTTTACCAACCTCAGAAGGATGGAAGGCTGAGTCAACCTTCAGTCAGACAGGATCGAACTCCAGGCTATGGGCAATTAGTCTGCAATACTGCAGATAATAGATAGATAGATAGATAGATAGACAGACAGACAGACAGATCGAACTCCAGGCTATGGGCAATTAGTCTGCAATACTGCAGATAGATAGATAGATAGATAGATAGATAGACTCGAACTCCAGGCTATGGGCAATTAGTCTGCAATACTGCAGATAGATAGATAGATAGATAGATAGATAGACAGACAGACAGACAGACAGACAGGATCGAACTCCAGGCTATGGGCAATTAGTCTGCAATACTGCAGATAGATAGATAGATAGATAGATAGATAGATAGATAGATAGATAGACAGACAGACAGACAGACAGACAGGATCGAACTCCAGGCTATGGGCAATTAGTCTGCAATACTACAGATAGATAGATAGATAGATATAGACAGACAGACAGACAGACAGACAGACAATTAGTCTGCAATACTACAGATAGATAGATAGATAGATATAGACAGACAGACAGACAGACAGACAGACGTAGCACTTAGCAATAGCATTTAGACTTATATACCGCTTCACAGTGTTTCACAGCCTTCTCTAAGTGGTTTTCAGAGTCAGCCTCTTAGCCCCCAATAATCTGGGTCCTCATTTTACCAACCTCGGAAGGACGGAAGGCTGAGTCCACCCTGAGCCTTGTCAGAACTGAACATAAATCGCAATTATGATTTATGACCATAATGGGCAGGCTTCATTACAGTCATAACTCGAGAACTACCACGGGTATATTTGAGGACTTTCTGCTCTAGAGATTTACTTTTTGGCTTTGGGACATTGCAATTCATATATACATGAGGAGAGCAGAGGTGAGAATGCAGATGGAAGCCTTATATTCTAGAGGCTGTATCTGGGTTCAAGTCTTGCTTCAGTGATCGAGGTCGCTGGATGATTTTGGGCAAATCTTTCTCTCTCAGCCCAATCAATCACGCAGTTGGTTGCGAGTATAAAATTAAAACCACAAAGAAGAGGTAAGCAGTTACAGGTAGTCCTCGAATTATAACCATTCATGTGTTTTTCACACAACTGTTGCAGCATTCCCCCACGGTCACATAATCAAAATTCAAATGCTTGGCAACTGACTCATATTTAGGACAATTGCAGTGTCCTGGGGTCACCTTTTGAGACCTCCTGATAACTAAAATCAATGGGGAAGCCAGATTCACTTAACAACCGTTATATATTCAAGATGGACAGTATTTAATATTTATTTGCTACGTATATGTAGGGATGTGGGTCTATACATATGTTGTTCATAGTAAGTTTAGGTGTGCGTCATGTGTCTCACTTTGAAAGCGGGCAACTAAATTTCATTTTTGATGTGTGCCATTGTGCCCACAGTAAAAAAAATGACAATAAAGGTTATCTTACCTTATCTTATCTTACCTAACCAAGTTACTAACTTAACAACTGCTTAGCAACAGAAATTTTGGGTTCAGTTGTGGTCATAAGTCAAGGACTACCTATAATGATATTAAAGAGTTATAGGGGGGAAAAAAACCTAAAGTCCTGCCTTGGGCACTTTGTTGTTTGCTTCTTTCTTCAGTCTCTTGTTGCCATTTTTTTCTTCCATTCTTGAGACATTTAGCAAACAGCTGCAAAAAAAACCCCACAAACTAACATGAGGCAATTTGATAAGTCTTAACATTGTTTGAGCTATTTGTTGCTACAGAAAGCTTTCTATGGCTACTCAGCAGCGTTTAATTCATAATTAAATATATTGTCTAGGTATAGAGCTGTCAAGTTATTTCAAATGTGAGCCTTCACGTGAGCTGTAATTTTTTTTTTTTTAGCGTTGCCAAGAAGCCCTTTATTGCTCTACAAAGTGCTCTCTCTATCAGCCCGATCAATTTAGAAACAGTTTGCTCCAGGAATCCATCAATTAGTTTGCTGCTAGACCAGAGGTCCCCAACCTTTTGGGCACCAGGGATCGGTTCTAGAGAGTGGTTTTTCTGCGCACTGGAGGGTGTGTGGTTTTGTGTGCTGCCTGCATCTCGAGGATAGGGCTCTGCTTGTTTGTGCGGCCTGGTTGCTGACATGCCATGACCTGGTACCGATCCATGGACTGGGGTTGGGGACCCATGTGCTAGACTATAACCATTGACTATGCTGGGAGAAGCATGTGAAATGCCAAGACTATACTAAAACAGGAAGGAAAAAAAAAAAACCCAATTATCTCCTGGCATGTGAACATGATGTGATTTGGAAAAAGGACTATACAGGTTGCCTTCAACTTACAGTAGTGGCCAAAACTGTGAAAACCTTTTGGGAAAAGTGTATTTTTGAAGTTGGATGGCTAATAATGCCACTTTTTTTTTGGAGTAGTACCATAAAATTATATATCAATGGAAAGATAATTTAATCAAGAATGCAATGCAATAAAGTTTGTTCAATTATCTGTACTGTATTCTATGAAAAATTCTGGCCAAATAACCAGAAAAAGGAAGCACAACTTGCTCAGGTAACTTTCCTTCATCCGATGGTAGCCAATGAGCATGAGCGTTTAGAAAGCCAATCAGGTATCATGTTGTTTTGCCAATGAGCCAATCAGATCACAGTAGGATCCAGTTATCGGCATCCTGTATTGAAGCTGAGAGGAGGACATTGATCAGTGTGTTATTATGTGATGGCTATCCAGTTGGTTGGGCTTTTTTGTGTTCTTTCCTTTAGTGAGCTTGTAAAACGTAATAAAATTAAAGTCATGGTGCAAAGAGTTGACCGCTCGCCCAGAAAGCGATGTAAAATAGTATTATTAAGTGAACAAGGCTACAGTTATAAAGAAATTAGAAGAAAAATGGGTGGAAACGTAACCAAAGTTGGCATTTCTACTGTACACTTTTCCCAAACGGTTTCCACAATTTTGGCCACGACTGTACAGCTCATTTAGTGATCATTTGAAGTTACATCGGTGTGACTTAATGACCATTTTTCAAACATAGGACCTTGGTCAGGTGATAAAAGTTCAGACACTTGGCAACTGACTCATACTTATGACGGTTACAGTGTCCCGGGGTCACATTTTGCGACCTTCTGACAAGCAAAGTCAATGGGGAATTAAATTCACTTAACAACTGTGTTACTAACTTAACAACAGCAGTGATTGACTTAGCAACGGTGGTAAGAAAGGTCGTAAAATGAGGTAAAAAAAATCACAAGAACTGCCTCGCTGAGCAACAGAAACTTTGGACTCAGTTTTGGTTGTAAGTTGAGGACTACCTATATTTTAATTGTACAGAGTACCGTCCTCAGCCATGGAAGTGACATTGGGCCAATCACTGCTCTTAGCTAAATCTACCTCAGAGTGCTGTGAAAAATGGGAGAAGAGAATACAATATACTGCCTTGAACTCCTGAATAAAAGGCAGGATATATATCTAACAGACATATTTGATGTATATGAAGTTAAACCAGGCAGAAAGCCTGAAACATAGACCACCTACCTCTTCAAACCTGGCCCTTTTATGACTTGTGGACTTCAACTCCCAGAATTCCTCAGCCAGTCCACAAAAGGGCCAAGTTTGAAGACCCCTGACCTACCTGAATTACGATGGAGCGGTCAGATTGTTGGATATTTCATGTTTATATTTACTGATGTATTCACATCTTGTGAGGCTTTAATTGCTCTCCCAGCAAAGGGCAATCACCAGTCCTGATCATTAAACACTAACTATCACTGTTAGTATTCATCAGTTACATTTTGGTCTCCAAGCGTGGTAACTTTAAGACTTGCAAATTTCAATCGATTGGGGAATTTTGGGACTTGAAGTCCACAAGTCTTAAAATTGCCACGTTCAGAGGCCTCTGAATTAGACATCCATTTCTTGGCAGAGGCCCAATATTTGGCAGTACTTCAAGGACATAAAAATGGTGGTGTATAAGATTAAAGGTCTGTGTCATTTTTCCCACAGTATCTAATTCAGTGCTTCTCAATTATTTTCTGTCATGCCCCCCTAGGAAGAAGAAAACATTTTGCGCCCCCCCGCGCGACTGTCTATCCAATCAGGTCCTTTGCGTGTGTCACGTGCGTCCAATATGACAGTATTTGCCAAGGTCAAACGAGCCCCCCTTTACGGAGCCTTGCGCCTCCCCTGGGGGGCCCGCCCCACTATTTGAGAAGCACTGATCTAATTAGACTCACTGGAGAAGGGCCTAATGCTAGGAAAGATGGAAGGCAATAGAAGAAGGGGACGACAGAGAATCAGGTGGCTGAATGGAGTCACTGAAGCAGGAGGCGTGAACTTAAATGGACTCCAGAAGATGGTAGAGGACAGGAAGACCTGGAGGAACATTGTCCATGGGGTAGCGATGGGTCGGACACGACTTCGCAGTTAACAACAACAATCTAATTAGATGCCCAGGGAATCCCATAAGTAGCCCTTAAGAATCCGCTTTTAATTTTGACTCTCTGTAACTGAAGAGAGTTTGATGTGGCAGTTAAGGCAGGGGTGTCAAACTGCCGGCCCGTGGGCCAGATGCATCACGCCAAAACTGTGCCCACCCCATTACCGGCAATGGGGAAAATAGTCGCGATACGTCGTGACACGTCACGTGACGTCGCAAGTTTGACACCTGTGAGTTAAGACATCAGGCTAAAAACAGGGTGACTGAGTTCTAGTCCTGCCTTAGACATAAAGCCAGCTGGGTGATCTTGGTCCAGTCCCTTTCTCTCTGCCCTGGGAAGGAGGCAATGGCAAACTATTTTTAAAAAACTTTTCCAAAAAAACCTGTAGGAACTAGTCCAGGGGTTCACCAGGAGTCAAAAACTGTGTTGAAGGCACAAAAGAACTCCCCACTCACCCAAAGTAGCAAATAAGCCACCATTATGAGAGGCTCTTCACTTGGTCCTTCACCTGCCCTCCACCCAACATTTAAATCTATGAAACCATCTAGGATGGTAAAGGTTTACACATGCTTAGTTTGTGTTATATAGCGATAACGAAAAGAGCATATAAGGCCGTAAATTTGTTACCCTCTGCAGATCTTCACTAAAGCAAGGTTGGGTGGGTCTGGTCAGAAGTTTATCTACACTACCCAACTCTTGTAAAATCATCAGCTTCCTTGTTGGAGGTGCAATATGCAAGGCGGTTAGTGTATCCGTGTAACTTGTAAGCTGCTTTTGCATGGTGGCTTTGCTGAGCTGCTTCACTGCGTCAACAAGTAACTTCCTTTTCCTTTTACTTCTTTGTTTCTTTAGGAGAGCTAGATACAAGACACATTCAGAAACGACACGTTACATGCCAACCAGGGAGTGCTAAGCAGGTAATACAAACATCAGTGGTGGGATTCAAATATGTGAACAACCGGTTCTCTGTGTGGAGGCCTAGTTTAGAATAGAATAGAATAGAATAGAATAGAATAGAATAGAATAGAATAGAATAGAATAGAATAGAATAGAATAGAAAATATGGAATGAATGGAATGGAATAGAATAGAAAATATGGAATGGAATGGAATGGAATGGAATAGAATAGAATGGAATGGAATAGAATAGAATAGAATAGAATAGAATAGAATAGAATAGAATAGAATAGAACAGAATAGAATAGAATAGGAGCAGGGTAGGATAGAGCCGGATAGGATATAGATGAATAGAATAGAATAGAATAGAATAGAATAGAATAGAATAGAATAGAATAGAATAGAATAGAATAGAATAGAATAGAATAGAAAAGAAAATATGGAATGGAATAGAATGGAATGGAATAGAATAGAAAATATGGAATGGAATGGAATGGAATAGAATAGAATAGGAGCAGGGTAGGATAGAGCTGGATAGGATATTGATGAATAGAATAGAATAGAATAGAATAGAATAGAATAGAATAGAAAAGAAAATATGGAATGGAATAGAATGGAATGGAATAGAATAGAAAATATGGAATGGAATGGAATAGAATAGAAAATATGGAATGGAATGGAATGGAATAGAATAGAATAGGAGCAGGGTAGGATAGAGCTGGATAGGATATTGATGAATAGAATAGAATAGAATAGACTAGACTAGACTAGAATAGAATAGAATTAGAATAGAAAATGTGGAATGGAATAGAATGGAATGGAATAGAATAGAAAATATGGAATGGAATAGAATAGAATAGGAGCAGGGTTGGATAGAGCAGGATAGGATATAGATGAATAGAATAGAATAGAATAGAATAGAATAGAATAACAGAGTTGGAAGGGACCTTGGAGGTCTTCTAGTCCAACCCCCTGCTCAGACAGGAAACCCTATACCATTTCAGGTTTTCAAGGTTCTGATATGCTCTTTAACAATAAAATAGATTTCCAGTAAGTCTTGTGTTCTTCAGCTGGCTTACTTTAACAGCTAAAAACTGGACAATTAGATTTAGATTTATTATTGTAATCAATTATATTTTATTTTGAGCTGTGTTTTGTATGTAAGTTTTGTAAGCTGCTTAGAATTTGGTTTTAGGCAGTAGGCAAATACTGTGAATAAATAAACGAATGAATGAATGTAATGGAAGGACAATCCTTTTTAGAAAATAAGGAAGACTAAGAGATGACCACTTCTATTGAAAAAACTGTTTACAATGAAATGCTACTGTATTCTGGATTTGCCATCACTTCTATATTGCATTTTTATTCACGACAGAAACAAATAATTCTAACCTGAATCAACAATAGGACAAAGAACAAAGCCGTCCTCCTCATTGCACAACAACGTTGTTTCATTAAGTTGGTGATTTCGTGTTTTATGTTTAGATGCAGCCTGGTCCAGATCAAAAGTAGGTCCTGCTGATTCAGACAGTCACAGAGTCAGGAGTATGATTCAGGTCACTGAGTCCAATTTCTGTTCAGCAAGAGAATTCAGTGGAGCTCACCTTCAGGTTTAGCCTGTTTGGGACTTAATAACCTAAATGTCTTGCAGAGATATTTTCTTGATTCAAGACTAAAAGAATGGAATCAATTGTACCTATTATTTTTTCCTGTCTGTCTGTCTATCTGTCTATCAATCTATGAATTCATTTTTATCTATCTACAGTATCTATCTATCTATCTATCTATCTATCTATCTATCTATCTATCTATCTATCTATCTATCATCATCTATCAATCTATGAATTCATTTCTATCTATCATCATCATCATCTATCAATCTATGAACATTTTTATCTATCTATCTATCTATCTATCTATCTATCTATCTATCTATCATCATCTATCAATCTATGAATTCATTTCTATCTATCTATCTATCATCATCATCTATCAAGCTATGAATTCATATCTATCTATCTATCTATCTATCTATGGATTCATTTCTATCTATCTATTTATCTATCATCTATCAATCTATGAATTCATTTTTATCTATCTATCTATCTATCTATCATCTATCAAGCTATGAATTCATATCTATCTATCTATCTATCTATCTATTAATCTATGAATTCATTTCTATCTATATTTATTTATCATCTATCAATCTATGAATTCATTTTTATCTATCTATCTATCTATCTATCTATCATCTATCAAGCTATGAATTCATATCTATCTATCTATCTATCTATCTATCTATTAATCTATGAATTCATTTCTATCTATATTTATTTATCATCTATCAATCTATGAATTCATTTTTATCTATCTATCTATCTATCTATCTATCTATCTATCTATCTATCTATCTATCTATCTATCTATCTATCTATCTATCTTTTTTTTTGTTCCGTCAATCATGTTTTCTGTCTGTCTGTCTGTCTATCTCATTTTCTCTCTCCCATCTCTATCACTTTTTTCCTCTCCGCTGTCTCTTTTTCTCTCTCTTCTCTCACAAGAAATGACTCTGGGCCATGTACAATAATTTTCTTATGACCGTGTGGCTAAGAGCATGTCCTTTTTCACAGCAGTGGCCATGCTGTGGAGATCCCTCTGGAAATTTGTGTCCTTCACATACCAGTGTTGGGTCTTGAAACCTGAGTGATTTAAGTTGGCTTCAGTATTATTAAAATATTGCTGCCTTATGTTTTTCAGACATTCTGTTGCTCTGTGTTTTGATTCTGGATTTCATCTGTTTTATTGCAAATCAATTTCAAAGCCGTAGGATGGAAAAATGGCTTCCAGTAGAAGCAAAACTTTTGCTAGTAAACGCAACAATTTTGTACTAGGTTTTCTCACTGAAGAAACTCAAAGGAACTTTAAGGAAAAAAAAAACCTTGCATGCATCTGTTGAATTAGAACTAATCAAGAAATATGACTGCATCTATTCAGGGCTGAATTAAAATCTTTAACTTTATTTATGGTTTTATGATGATCGTGCTTAATTATTGTTGATATGAATAGCTAATTTTCTTATTGTTAAAAAAATGTTATACAGAAATTGCCACAGAATTAGGCTTTTTTTGCTTTTCACTTATTCTAATCTTATTTACTATCAAGTTTTTTTTCTTCATAGTAATTTATAAGTAAAAATAACAACTTACACATACGAACAAGCTGATTCTATGAGAGTTTATGCCATAATAAACACACTTAACATTAAAATACAATAAACTACAACATTGTATTTGCAGATACAAACTAATATAGTTATGTGTCTCGAAGTTTAATTTCTAGAAGCATTATTCACACTAGTAAAACAGTTTAAAGTAAAGCAGCTATAAACTTACTTTTTCTGTTATCAACTGGATCTTTGTTGGGTAAAAGAAGTTCCTCTTCCATGTCAAATATTGCAAGGAGGCCATTCTGGTCAGTTCCAAGAACATCATCTTAAGAAAATAATTATAGTACATAAAATAAAAACTATTTTTATGTACATAACTACATATTTTATACAGGTAATCCTAGACCTAGACTTACAACAATTTGTTTAGTGATTGTTTGAAGTTACAATGACATTGAAAAAAAGCAACTGATGACCAGTTCTCACAATTTATGCTGACTGTTGCAGCATCCCCATCATCGCAATATCAAAATTCGGGCACTGGGCAACTGGCATGTATTTATGACAGTTACTCTAGCCCAGTATTTCTCAACCTTGACAATTTTAAGACATATGGACTTCAACTCCCAGAATTCCACAGCCAGCATTGCTGGCTGTGGAATTCTGGGAGTTGAAGTCCACATGCCTTAAAATTGTCAAGGTTGAGAAACACTGCTCTAGCCCAAGTCATGGGATCAACTTTTGAGATTTTCCCACCCAGCTTCTAACAAGTGAAGTCAATGGGGAAAACCAGATCTGCTTAATGACCACATGATTCAGTTAACAACTGCAGTGATTTGCTTAAGAACTATGGCAAAAGGATGTAAAATGGAGTACGACTCACTTAGCAACTGCCTTGCTTAGCAACAGAAATGTTGGGCTCAGTTGTGATTGTAAGTTGAGGACTATGTAGAAAAATGCAAAAAGCTTTACTAGAACATAACAAACGTACTAAACTTTTGGGATAACTCAGAAAGTCTACTGGTCAGCTATAGTCAGACTGGATTTTGTTCATACTTACCAATCATATCTCTTCCAGCTCCTTCATCTCCAAATCCATCATACCCTAGTGCCATTTTGTCTCCAGTTAAATTCAAAGAACTATGATCAGCCAAGAGACTGTTGGAACTATTTATTAAACTGTCACTGAAAAAGTTACCGTGCCTCGGAATTTCAATTTCGTCATCTGTGAGAGATACATATGCATGACTCAGCTATGTTTATATATCTCGGACATAGAATACTTTGCAGCAAGTTAAAATCAGTTGCTTATTAAAAACTGAACCCAGAATGCAACTTTTGAAAATGAAATTAAAAACCCTTTGTATTTTGATTTACGAGGGAAAAAAGCTGCGGCCTCACTCACCAAAACTGACACCACTGAGAACAGTCTGCCCATAAAATTCTGTCAATGTGATGTCCTCAATTTTGCTCTGGTGCAGTGTAAAATGTTGAGCGACCTCAATGGCCCTATTAGAAAAGAAAAAATAATGAAATATGGGATGATTTTATAAAAATAGTTTTGGGAGAAGGCAAAGGGAATAAACCTGCTCAAGAATATATGCTGTTTTTGAGGGGATAAGGGCAAAATTGAAATATACTGTATATTGTTAGTTGTTATATGAGAAGAAATATAGGTAATAAAAATGGTCTCCAGGGGTGTGGGTGCACTGTAGTATTTGTATTTTTTATATTGTTTTTTTATTTAGACTTCTATGAGTTGTATTTATATTATTTATATGCGTTGTATTATTTGTATTTGAATAAAATAAAATTTATTAAAAAAATTAAAAAAAATAAAGGATTTTAGGAGATGCTACATAACTGGACCACAACTTGCTAATTCAGAAAACATATCCACATAATATTTTAATATATTTGGTCCTAATTAAATTGCATTTCCACTGCCCTTCACTTACTACTCCATAGCAGGATTAAGAAATGTTTAGTAGTACAGATTAACTAACAAGGGCTGCTTCAGTTACTACATTCAACTTTCTTTATCCCAAAAATATAGTTCAAGAATTAAAAATGAGCAATGTACAGGTAGTCCTCGACTTATGACCATAATTGGGCCCAACATATCTGTTGCTAAGTGAGACATTCGTTTAATGAGTTTTAATGATCTTTTTTTGCCATAGTTATTAAGAGAATCACTGTAGCTGTTAAGTTAGTAACACAGCTGTTAAGTAAAGATGGTTTCCCCATTGACTTTCTTTGTAAGAAGGTTGCAAAAAGTGATCACATGACCCTGGGGCAGGGCAACCTTCATAAGTACATGCCAGTTGCCAAGCCTCTGAATTTTGATCACGTGATCACGGGGATGCTTCAATAGCCAGAAGTGTTAAAAACGGTCACAAGTCACTTTTTTCAGGGCTGTTGTAACTTCAAGCGATCACTAAATGAACCGCTGTAAGTCGAAGACTATCTGTATTTTATCAGGTCTATCATTATTGTAAAAACATTACTCTGGACTATGAAAAAGTTTAAGAAAATCCAATGAATCTCCATGAAGGAAATCTAGTGCTCTCTGTGCTGTTCTGACCTATAGTAAATCTAGCCTGAATAAGTGGATTGAAAACAGAGAAGTGATCCCTTACAATCAAGTCGTAACTATATAGAAAATAAGAGTTGTTTGATATTCAGGATGCTGAGAGGGAGGGAAATGAGAGCAGAATGGAAAGTCGCACTGAGAAAAGCTGTATTAAAGTGACAGATGAACTATAACAGTGGTGGCGAACCTATGGCACGTGTGCCAGAGGCGACACTTGGAGCCCTCTCTGTTGGCACGCGCACCATCGCTGCCAGCAGCAGGTCCATGAGGCCGCCACCACCACCTGGAGCAGGAATCCCGCCCAGCACAAAGGAGGCGAAGCGGCTGACTAGCAAGCTCGAGTAGAGGTGGTCGAGCAGAAGTCACCAACCCTTGTCGATTGGTTGACTGGAAGAAAAGGGAGGGGGAAGCATTTTACATGTGTGCATGCGCACGGGGTCGCGAGCACACACGCGCTGCAAATGGGGTGGGGCTAGTGCCTGCGTGATACGAGCCCTGCTCCATTCTTGCATGGTACAGCACCCTGCGGCACGGCGGCGGCCATTTTTGCGCTTTGCAGCACAGCGGCCCATTTTTGCATCCCCAGTTTTTGTGTGCCAGAGGCGGCACTCAGAGGCGCCTCCCCCCCCCCAAGGGCACCACAATGCTGATGCGGCCCTGGCACTTTGCTATAAATAAGTGGGTTTGGGGTTACGGTTTGGGCACTCGGTCTCTAAAAGGTTTGCCATCACTGAACTATAACTAGATAGAACTGTGGATTTGCCAGGCAAGGAGAGACAGTAGTTCAAATTCATTGTCATAAAAAATAAAATCTATAATGGGAAAGGAACTATAGAGCAGTACAGCAGTACAGTCCTTGACATATGACCACCACTGAGCCCCACATTCTTGTTGCCGAGACCGTTGTTAAGTGAATTTTGCCCTATTTTACAAACTTCCTTGCCGCGGTTGTGTTCAGTGAATCGCTGCAGTAGTTCAGTGAGTAACAATGTTGTTAAGCGAATCTGGCTTCCCCATTGACATTGCTCGTCACAAGATGACAAAAGGGGATCACGTAAACTCCTGTCGTAAATATGAGTCAGTTGCCAAATGTCATGTGAATTTTGATCACATGACAACGGGAATGTATTTGCAATGATCATAAGGGTGGAAAACAGGCATAGGTGACTTTTTTCCAATGCCCTTGTTAACTTTGAATGGACACTAAATGAATGATTGTAAGTCAAGGACTACCTGTAGCCGAGAAAGAGGATTGTGATTTTGTTCCTCCACATGTACGGGTAATCCTTGACTTATAACAGTCCATTTAGTGATCATTCAAAGTTATAATGGCACTGAAAAAAGGGACTTGTGACCATTTTTCACACAACAGTTGTAGCAATCCCCATGGTCACAGGATCAAAATTCAGAAGCTTAGCAACTGGTTCGTATTTATGACGGATGCAGTGTCCCGGGATCATCTGATTAGCTTTTGTGATCTTCTGAAAAGCAAAGTCCATGGAGGAGCCAGATTCACTTAATGACCAGGTTATTAACTTAACTGCTAAGTGATCCACTTAACAACTGTGACAAGAAAAGTCGTAAAATGGGGCAAAAACTCACTTAACAAATGTTTCACTCAGCAACATAAATTTTGGGCTCAATTGTGGTCATAACGTGAGGACCACCTGTAATGTAGAAGCATGCATATTTTCTACTATAAAGTTTTGAGTAATTCTATGAGAAAAGGGAATTCAGAGGGTATTCACTCCCTTTTCACGTGTTCTATACTTAGCAATAAACAAATGTGGGAAAATATTTACTTCGTGTCTGGAAGTTGGGTATCAAAATCATGAAACTCTTCAGGTAATGTGATGGCATCATAATTTGCCTCAGAATTTCCTTTAGGGAGGTCAACAAGCCCTGAAGAAAAATGCACAACATAAGATTAACTGTGGGATGATGTAGCTTTATACATCCTGCAAGATAAAAATGGACAGGTATTTGAGGGCATCCAGCAAATGCACTCACATTTTTTAAACTTTCACCTAGTACAAGGTCCCTTCCAGCTCTATTCTATTCAACAGAAATTAATTAGATGGCAGAAAAGTGTGCAGAGAAGAGCAACAAAGATGATGAGGGGCCTGGAGGCTAGAACATATAAGGAATGGTTGCTGGAATTGGATATGTCTAGTTTAATGAAGAGAAAGACTGGGGTGACATGATATTCTAATATTTGAGGGGCTGCCACAAAGACGACAGGGTCCACCTCTTCTCCAAAGCACCTGAAAGCAGGACAAGAAGCAACGGGTGGAAACTAATCAAAGAGAAAAACAACCTGGAACTGAGGGGAAATTTCCTGACAGTCAGAACAATTAATCAGTGGAACTACTTGCCTCCAGAGGTTGTGAACGCTCCAACAGTGGAGGTTTTTAAAGAGACTGAACAGCCATTTGTCTGAAATGGTATGGTTTCCTGCCTGAGCAGGGGGTTAGACTAGAAGACCTCCAAGGTCCCTTCCAACTTTATTATTATTACCATTAAAATAAGGCGTGCTATAAAGGATGTGAAACAGCCATTTGTCTGAAATGGTATGGTTTCCTGCCTGAGCAGGGGGTTAGACTAGAAGACCTTCAAGGTCCCTTCCAAACATCATCATCATCATCATTATTATTATTATTATTATTATCATCATCATCATCATCATCATCATCATTATATTATTTGATTTGTCAACTGAATAATGATACAATTACAAAAATATTCTGCTACTTGTGCAATTCTGGACATGACTATTCAGAAATAAGCCCCATTGTAATCTTTGGAATTTACTTCTACTTTGATTTTTAGAATTGCAGTCTCTACATGGTCCAACACTTGTCTGAAATGGTATAGGGCAGTGATGGCGAACCTTTTAGAGACCAAGTGCCCAAACTGCAACCCAAAACCCACTTATGTATTGCTGGGTGCTGGATGGGCGTGGCCCACTGGGCGTGGCTACGGTGGTCATGGCAGATAGATGGGCGTGGCCAGGGTGGGCGAGGCCAGTTCAATGTTGCTCCTGTGGGGGCTGGGCAGGGTTGGGGGAAATCCAGGGCGTCTCTGGCGGGTAGGGCGGTGGGCAGGAAGCTCATCTTGCGCGGTGAGGCGAGGCGAGGCGAGGCAAGACAGGGCGGGGGTGCCATTGTTGCAGGGCAAGGTGAGGCAGGGGCCGGGGCAGCTACTGCCTGACACCATCGGCCCCCACACACAGAGGCCAGCGAGCGCATGGGTGCTGGGATGCATCCGGCCACGTGGGACCTCAGCGAGTTAGCAGGCGGCTGGTTGAAGAGGATGGTTGCCAACTCCAGGGCATGGCGCGAGTGCCCACAGAGAAGGCTCTGAGTGCCGCCTCTGGCACGCGTGCCATAGGTTCGCCACCACTGGTATAGGGTCTCCTGCTTTAGCAGGGCATTGGAGTAGAAGGCCTCCAAGGTTCCTTTCAGCTTTATTCTGATTCTGATCTTGAGACTGCCTTCCAAGCATTATCTCATGAATCCTGAATCCTTGCAAACCACTTCTTTTGTTTTCAAAAACTAAAGCCCTTTCTTTAGGCTACAATGAATAAGCTGATCATTAATAATAAGTAGGGGAAAATCATACCTGGTTGAAAAGTTGATTGCATTTTAAGTAGGGCTTCACTGCAATCTGTCAAAAGATACTTGGTTTTTCTGTGATAGATCTTCACCACTCCTAACAAAAGGTGTCCCGAGGTACGAAGAGCAATTTTAAACTGAGGGGGGAAAGTTGGTATTATCTAGTATTAGCGCGAAAGATCACACCAGAATTAAGAGTATTTCTCCTCATTCTCATTTTTCTTAAAACAAGTCTAAGAGAGTAGCTGATGGTCTCCAAATGGGAAGAGAGGGCATCACTTTCAGGAAATACTGGGTTAATCTTGTCGTGCTCAGGCATGAAAGCTGGCTGAATGACTTTTTGGGCCAATCACCAGGAGACTGGGAGTTTTAGTCCCGCCTTAGGCATGAAAGCCCGCTGGGTGACTTTGGGCCAATCACCAGGAGACTGGGAGTTCTAGTCCCGCCTTAGGCATGAAAGCCCGCTGGGTGACTTTGGGCCAATCACCAGGAGACTGGGAGTTCTAGTCCCGCCTTAGGCATGAAAGCTAGCTGGGTGACTTTGGGCCAATCACCAGGAGACTGGGAGTTCTAGTCCCACCTTAGGCATGAAAGCCCGCTGGGTGACTTTGGGCCAATCACCAGGAGACTGGGAGTTCTAGTCCCGCCTTAGGCATGAAAGCTAGCTGGGTGACTTTGGGCCAATCACCAGGAGACTGGGAGTTCTAGTCCCGCCTTAGGCATGAAAGCCCGCTGGGTGACTTTGGGCCAATCACCAGGAGACTGGGAGTTCTAGTGCCGCCTTAGGCATGAAAGCTAGCTGGGTGACTTGGGCCAATCACCAGGAGACTGGGAGTTCTAGTCCCGCCTTAGGCATGAAAGCCCGCTGGGTGACTTTGGGCCAATCGCCAGGAAACTGGGAGTTCTAGTCCTACCTTAGGCATGAAGCTAGCTGGGTAACTTTGGGCCAATCACCAGAGGACAATGAATTCTAGTCTTGCCTTAGGCATGAAAGCCAGCTGGATTGACTTTAGTTTAGGCCAATTACTCTCTCAGCCCACTTCACTGAGTTGTTGTTGTTGTGGGGAAAATAGGAGGAGGAGGGAGTATTAGGAATGTTTGCTGCCTTGAATTACTTACAAAGTAATAACGGCAGGATAAAAATTAAATAATTAAAAATGGCTCCATTTGCGGAGGTTGAAAGGGGTAATCTAGACCAATGAGCCCAAGATCTTGTTTAGCACAAAAACCCAATTTAACACATCCCTAACAGTTGGCTGTTTGGTTTGTGTCTTGATATATATCCAGTGAAAATATGCTCAATATCACTTGGGATAATTGGTTCTATCACTGAACAGCTCCTATTGTTAGGAAGCGTTTTGAGCTAGAATCTGCCTTCCTGTAACTTAAAAACGTCACTCTATATCTCACATACTGAGGTGATAGAGATCTTGACTTTCTTTGGTATAACAATCCTTTTTAGGTTTTTTTTTTTTTTTGCAAGACTAAACATATCCAGATCCTCAAGGTCCTGCTGTAGAACTTAATTTACAATGCCACACCCAATGCTAAATAAAAATAGGGGACATTATTTTTGAGAGTCATACCTTAGGGGAGAGTATCTTTTCAATGGTAGCTTCTAAATTGCATTCAAATATATGAGCCTTTGTGACTTTCTTATCCCAGTGAGCAGCCAACCATATCTTGGACAAAGGCCCACGCTTATTCATAAGCAGCTGCATGTAGAACATTTTGCCAGAAATGTGTTCCTTAACTTGGCAAGCTAGAGGGAAGAAAATATTTTAAATGTTGAAAACATCATTTTTTGGGGGTAAACATTCAAAGCTAAAATAAAAAAAGCGGCATATCTTAATTTGAAATAAATGATTTGCAAAAATGGGGAAACCCTTTAATTTTATAGTTTCATGTTTTCATGCTTCCAGGTAGTTTTAAAAAAATGCATTACTTTTGTACAATCTAAGTAACTACTTAAAATACTGTTGGCTACTTGTGATTAGGATACATCATCTGTATATGTCAGAGGTAGGTAACCTTGGCTCTTTTATGACTTATGAACTTCAGCTCCCAGAATTCCTGAGCCAGCACGGCTCAGCTTGGAAACCTCTCCCTTTCCCCTCAGCATGGCTGGCTCAGGAATTCTGGGAGTTGAAGTCCACGAGTCACGAGGGGGCCATAGTTCCCCCATGCTGGCTCATGAATTCTGGGAGCTGAAGTCCACGAGTCCATGCTGGCTGAGGAATTCTGGGAGTTGAAGTCCACGAGTCATAAAAGAGCTGAGGTTGCCTACCCCTGGTATATGTTATAATGAATTTATCTTCATGCAACATTTATGTACTAAAAGTTTCCAAATCAAGCTAATAACATTACTGAAATACATAATTTGGACAAAGTGAATATATTGAAACAATGTTGCTTTCCTTGCTTCTGTTGCAAAAATAAGAAAATTGTTAGTTTTCTCAATGTATTTTAGTTTATTTGAAAGATGTACAGTAAGTCCAATTTTATTCATGTGGCAGTAAGGAATAAGCGAGGAACTACAATAATCAAACATATTAGGGTATGCAAACATTTTTTACAAACCACAAAGAAACTACACACAAGAATGAAATACGAGATAGAACTTCTGGGGGAAGTGTTTTTTTTTTTGAAAAGGTACACATGTAAGAAGAAAAGAGTTAAAAAAGTTTCCAGAGAAGATATTTCTCAGCATATTAAGTTTCTAAGGATTTTTCTACAGGAAAAGTTGGAGCTTGATTGATAGTTGTTCAAGACAGCTGAATCAAGGGATGATCTCAGAATAGGAGCACCATTACATCTTTCAAAGACCAGGTCTGTTAACAGGTTACCCCTTAGTCTGTGGTCATAGTTAATAATTCAAATAGATTGTCATAAAAAACACAATGTTCAGTAAGGTATGAGTTTCTGGTGAGGCTTCAAGGCAAAATCTAGATATCCCCGAAGGAGTGGGGACAGCACTGCAGTGGACATTGGTGAATTCTGGCTAGCAAATTCTCTCTGGAAATAGGAGATATCTTAAGATTGCCCACTTCTATTCTGGACAGTTGCTCCTTGTGAATTGTTTAGTCACCAAGTCATGTCCAACTCTTCGGAATCCCTTGGACCACAGCATGTCAGGCCCCCGTCCTCCAGTGTCTTCCGGAGTTTGCCCAAATTCACGTTCATTGCGTTGATGACACCATCTAACCACCCCATCCTCTGTTCTCCTCTTCTCCTTTTGCCTTCCATCTTTCCCAACATCAGGGTCTTTTCCAAGAAGTCCTCTCTTCTCATTTGGCAACCAAGGTATTTGAGCTTCAGTTTCAATATCTGTCCTTTCAACAGTCAGGGTTGAATTCCTTTCGGATTGACTGATTTGATCTCCTTGCAGTCCAAGGGGCTCTCAGGAGTCTTCTCCAGAACCACAATTCAGAAGCATCAATTCTTCAGTGCTCAGCCTTTCTTATGTTCCAACTCTCACAGTCATAACAGTACTACTGGGAAAACCATAGCTTTGACTATACCGACCTTTGTCGACAAGGTGACGTCTCTGCTTTTTAATATCTTGTTTAGATTTGCCATAGCTTTCCTGCCAAGAAGCAAGCCTTTTTTAATTTCATGGCTGCAGCCCGTCTGCAATGATCTTGGAGCACAAGAAAATTAAAATCTGTCACTGCTTCCATTTCTTCCCCTTCAATTTGCCAGAAAGTGATGGGACCAGAAACCATCTTAAGATTTTTTAAATGTTGAGTTTCAAGCCAACTTTTGAACTCTCCTCTTTCACCCTTAACAAGAGCCTCTTTAGTGTCTCTTCACTTTCTGCCATTAAAATGTTATCGTCTGCATATCTGAGGTTGTTGATATTTTTCCTGGCAATCTCAATTCTGGTTTGTGATTCATTCTACCTGGCATTTCGCATGATGTACTCTACATACTGGTATAAGTTAAATTAGAAGGGCAACAATATACCACTTGTCATACTCCTTTCCCTATTCTGAGCCAATCAGTTGCTCCATGTCCAATTGCTTCTTGACCCACATGCAGGTGTCTCAGGAGACAGGTTGGCACTCCCATCCCTTTAACAACTTGCCACAATTTGTTTTGATCCACACAATCAAAAGCTTTAGCATAGTCAATGAAACAGGGATAGATGTTTTTCTGGAACTCTCTTGCTTTCTCCATAATCCAGCAAATGTTGTCAATTTGAACTCTAGTTCCTCTGACTCTTCAAATCCCAGCTGGTAGTTCCTGGTTCACATACTACTGAAGCCTAACTTGTAGGATTTTGAGTGCAACCTTGATAGCATGTGAAATGAGCACAATTGTACGGTAGTTTCATCATCCTTCAGCATTGTCCTTTTTGGGATTGGAACATGAACTGTTCTTTTCCAATCCTGTGGTCACAGTTGAGCTTTCCAAATTTGGAGGTGTATTGAGTGCAGCACTTTAACAGCATTCTCTTTTAGGATTTTAAATAGCTCAGCTGGAATACCATCGCCTAGCTTTGATGTCAGTAATGCTTCCTAAGGTTTAGTTGATTTTGCACTGCGGGATATCTGGCTTGAAGTCAGTGATCACACCATTGTGATTATCAGGGAAAACAAGACCATTCTCATATAGTTCTTCTGTGTATTCTTGCCACTTCTTAATCTCTTCTACTTCTGTTAGGTGCTATTTTTGTCCTTTATCATGCTGATCTTTGCACAAAATGTTCCATTGGTATCGCCAATTTTCTTGAAGAAATCTTTAGTCTTTCCCATTCTATTACTTTCCTGTTTCTTTGCTCTGCCATTTAAAACCTTCTTATCTCTCCTTGCTATTCTCTGGAAATCTGCATTCAGTTGGACGTATCTTTCCCTTTTTTTCTTGTCTTTTGCTTTCCTTCTTTTCTCAGCTATTTGTAAAGCCTCATCAACCAATTGGTAGATTTTTATACTTTTAAAAATGATTTTATATGTCTTTTAACTTCTAATTGGAAGCTTTGGGAGAATCTGGAGGCTAAATCATACAATGAATGTTGCAGGAACAGGGAATGGCTAGTCTAAAGAACAGAAAGAATAAGGGTGATGTGATAGCAATCTTCCGATACCTAAAGGGCTGCTATAAAGTAGAGGGGGTCAATCTATTCTCCAAAGCACCTTAAAGCAAGGCAGGAAGCAATAGGTAGAAGAATAAGAGAATAACGTAGTTGGAAGGGACCTTGAAGGTCTTCTAGTCCAACCCCCAGTTCAAGCAGGAAATCCTACACCATTTCAAACAAATGGTTGTCCAGTCTTTTAGAAAACCTCCATTGTTGGAGCACCCACAACTTCTGGGCGCAAGCTTTTCATCGGGATCGATTGTTTCAATTGTCAGGAAATGTCTCCTTAGTTCCAGGTTGCTTCTCTCCTTGATAAGTTTCCATCCGTTGCTTCTTTTTCTGCCTTCAGATGCTTTGGAGAATAGGTCAATTCCCTCTTCTTTGAGGCTGCCCCTCAAATGGAACAAGACTGAACGGATGAAATAAGGTCTCCTGCTATGGGCAAGGGGTTGGACTAGAAGACCTCCAAGATCCCTCCTAGCCCTAAGATTCTATGATTCTAACTCAGCGGTTCTCAACCTTTGGGTCGCGACCCCATTTGGGGTCGAACAACATTTTATGGGGGTCGCCAAACAACGCGACCCGCCATTTTTTTCCCTCAGGGGGCGGCAGCGCCGCGCATGCACGCCGCATATGGGGGCGCCACCGCGCATGTGCGGCGCGTCCTTATGAGCAGGGTCGCTGTATAAAAAGGTTGAGAACCACTGTTCTAACTGAAGAACATTCTTAATGTGTAACATGGTGACAAATGGTTGCCTATTTGTTGGAGATTTGGATCACCTTTGTCTAGAATGGAATAAAGATTCTTGCTTGGAGCAGGCGGTTGTCTTGCGCCTGAAGGCAGGACAAGAAGCAACGGATGGAAACTCATCAAGGAGAGAAGCAAACTTAGAACTAAGGAGAAACTTCCTGAAAGTGAGAACAATTAACCAGTGGAACCACCTGCCTCCAGAAGTGGTGAATGCTCCAACACTGGAAGTTTTTAAGAAGAAGCTGGACAGCCATTGGTCTGAAATGGTATAGGGTTTTCTGCCTGAGCAGGGGGTTGGACTAGATGACCTCCAAGGTCCCTTCCAACTTCATCTTTATTATTATTATTATTACCACCACCTTCAAGGTCCCTTCCAACTATGTTATAGAAGATATGTCACCCATTTCACTGTCAGCAACTTTCTGGATGGTTTTATAACCCTCCCCCCCCAGTATAAAATCAATCTCTGGGACGAAGGCACTAAAAAAGGGGGCGATTTGTGAGAAAACGTGAGAAAATAGAATTAAGATTTACCAAAAAATTAAAACACGGGATGTGTATATGTCGGAGGAGCGGGAGGGAATCTGGCAAGATCACCTTCCCCATGGACATCATAACCCATCATCCCCAGGTAGGCGACCCCGATAGGGAAGCAAAGCTGCGATCGCGGAACGCAGCCCGAGGTTTAACTTTTTCCCTCCTTCCCTTATTTGCCAATTGGGAAGGAGTTTTTTTTTTCTCTCTCTCTCGGCCATGAAAAACCGGATTAATGAAGGAAGCAAAGGCATTTGCTGAGGTGATTCGTTTCGAAATCCTGTCCTTCCGGGGCAAGAAGGCAGAGAGGGAGCTTCTATGTTCAAAAAAAAAAAAGAGGATTTAATTTAGTTTTAAATTAGTTTATACTAAGCATGCAAATTCTCCTCAGGGCTCTAGAAGGTAGCTCTCACCTCTGGAGTGTTCCCGCCCAAAACCGCAAATAAAACACGCATGCGTGGGTTTTTAAAGGCCAAGGGCGCCTGCGCGCGCGGGATTAACATTCTCCTTTCTCGCGCGCTAGACTGGGAGCCGCGTTCCCCGACGCGCACGCGCAGATGTTTAGGCTGAGGCGAGCCGAGGGGGACGAGCAAGAGGGAAGGAGGAGGCAGGGCACAGAGTGTGATGTTCGAGAGGATGGGCGGGGCTTAAATGACGTCATCCAATTCCAAGTGGAATAGAATAGAATAGAATAGAATAGAATAGAATAGAATAGAATAGAAATATAGAATTGAATAGGAAAATAATAGAATAGAAATATAGAATTGAATAGGAAAATAATAGAATAGAATAGAAATATAGAATTGAATAGGAAAAGAATAGAATAGAATAAGAATATAGAATAGAATAGAATAGAATAGAATAGAATAGAATAGAATAGAATAGAATAGAATAGAGCTGGAAGGGACCTTGGAGGTCTTCTAGTCCATCCCCCTGTTCAAGCAGGACAACCTATACCATCTTAGACATGTGACTGTCCAGTCTCTTCTTAAAAATCTCCAGTGACAGAGCGCCCACGATTTCTGGTGGCAAACTGTTCCACTAGTTGATTGTCCTCACTGTCAGGAAGTTTCTCCTTAATTCCAGGTTGTTTCTCTCTTTGATTAGTTTCCAACCATTGTTTCTCATCCTTCCCTCTGGTGCTTTGGAGAATAATGTGACCCCCTCCTCTTTATGGCAGCCCCTCAGATACTGGAACACTGCTATCATGTCTCCCCTGTTTCTTCTTTTCTTTAGACTAGCCAAATCCAAGTCCCGTAGCCGTTCTTCGTATATTTTGGTCTACAGGCCTTTGTTAATTTTAATTGCTCTTCTCTGAACACAGCTACAAGAGTGAGCCTGCCTGAGCCAGCAGTCTTGGCAACAATTGTCTATGCCTTGAAAAAAAACCCCATCCTGATTATTTCAACATATTTCTCTTGAAACCTCCCTTCGGCGGGGTCCAAAAACTATGCAGTACATGGTGCTCTCTGAGCTTGGTGTGGTTTTCTTGCTGATGTTTCATCATCAGTGCTTGAAACCCCACTCCCTTCTAGCCCTGATGATGTTACCTAGTTGGGTGATGAAATGTCTGCAAGAAAATAACCAAGCTCAGCAAGCATCAAGGACTCCACAGTCCTCCTCCTCCTCCTCTTCCTCCACCTCCACTGTGCAAACCCTACTCCTTTCCCAGCCCTGATGATGTTATCTAGTTGGGTCATGAAATGTCTGCAAGAAAAGCACCAAGTTCACAGAGCACCAAGGACCCCACAGTCCCCCTCCCCCTCCCCCTCCTCTCCATACACCCCACTTCCTTCTAGCACTGATAATGTTACCTAGTTGGGTCACGAAACATCTGCAAGAAAATCACCAAGCTCAGAGACATCCAAGGATTTCATAGTTCTCCTCCTTCTCCCCCTCCTCCTCTTCCTCCTGCCAAGAAAACAACTAAACTCAGAGACTACAAAGGACCCTACAGTCGTCCTTTTCCTTCTCCTCCATCTCCATCACCTCCATCTCCTCCTCCTCCTCCATCTCCATCTCCTCCTCATCCCTTCTCCTCCTCCCCCTCCTCCCTCCTCCTCCAACTCCATCTCTTCCATATCCTCCTCCTCCTCCTTTTCCCCTTCCTCCTCCTCCTCCTCCTCCTCTCCACACACCCCACTCCCTTCTAGCTCTGATGATGTTACCTTGTTGGGTCATGAAATGTCTGCAAGAAAACCACCCAGCTCAGAGAACAAAAAACGACTCCAAAGTTCAACCCTGAGCGACAAATATTCTCTTGAGTTCAGAAACTGCATTTGGCATGGCGGCTTGGTGCTCCTGCTGCTAACCTATGCAAGAATAAAAGGCAATTTAAGATGCCGAGTGTCTACCTCCAGCTCAAATATCCAAACAAAGTCCAGGATTTCTTTCATTTCTGAAAAATCTGACTGGTTTATTGAATCCATGACATGGTATTGGCGAAGGAAAACTAACTCTAAAATACAAAGACATCTAACCATAGTGTCGTGGTTCCGACAGAGGAAACTCTTCAAAAGAACTTCGAGGCATGGTTTACCTTAAAGGATCTTTTATTCGAGTAGCATAATATCGTTCATTACATAATCGAAGCCAAAAACTGAATTCCCCTTCCCTGAGCACATAGTATCAAAGCACAATTCCCTCCTCCAATTAACAGTCATAAATCACATTCCCCAAATAGCTTGAAGCGTGGGCTTCCTCTCCAGCTCTCCAGCCCACCAATTCTTTATCAGCTCTGGGCTCAATAACCTTGATTCTCATGCTATTTATCCTGAAAAACAGAATTATGAGCCGTGGTGGTGCAGTGGTTAGAATGCAGTACTGCAGGGCTACTTCTGCTGACTGGTAGCTGCCAATAGTTTGGCAGTTCAATCCTGACCAGCTCACGGTTGACTCATCCTTCCATCCTTCCAAGGTCGGTTGGGGGCAAGAGGCTGACTCTGTAAACTGCTTAGAGAGGGCTGTAAAGCCCTGTGAAGTTATATATAAGTCTAAGGCAGCGGTTCTCAACCTGTGGGTCGGGATCCCATTTGGGGGTCGAACGACCATTTCACAGGGGTCGCCAAACAACGCAGTCCGCCATTTTTCCCCCCTTTTCCTTAGCTGTGCTACTCCCTTTCATTCTATTGGCTTTTGAAAGCCAATAGAATAGACTCTCTTGAATAGAGTCTAATTCTATTGGCTTTCCAAAGCCAATAGGAATTGTCCAGGCTGTCTCTGCCCTGCTGAGCCTGCCAAAAGTCCCATTCTGCAAACGGTGCTGCACCAGTTGAGTAGTCCTCGACTTACGACCGATTGAATAGTCCTCGACATACAACTGGTTGGGGGTCGTGGCATTAAAAAGGTTGAGAACCACTGGTCTAAGGGCTATTGCTCTCTCTCTTTCCATCCTCCCAAGGTCGGTAAAATGAGGACCCAGATTGTTGGGGGCAAGAGGCTGACTCTGTAAACTGCTTAGAGAGGGCTGTAAAGCCCTGTGAAGTGGTATATAAGTCTAAGGCAGTGGTTCTCAACCTTTTTAATGCCGCGACCCCCAACCGGTCGTAAGTGGAGGACTACTCAACCGGTCATAAGTGGAGGACTACTCAACTGGTGCAGCACCGTTTACAGAATGGGACTTTTGGCGGGCTCAGCAGGGCAGAGACAGCCTGGACAATTCCTATTGGCTTTTGAAAGCCAATAGAATTAGACTCTATTCAAGAGAGTCTCTTCTATTGGCTTTCAAAAGCCAATAGAATAAAAGGGAGTAGCACAGTTAAGGAAAAGGGGGAAAAAAATGGCGGACTGCGTTGTTTGGCAACCCCCGTGAAATGGTCGTTTGACCCCAAATGGGGTCCTGACCCACAGGTTGAGAACCACTGCTCTAAGGGCTATTGCTATTCTCACCTGACACCAGCCAAGGCTTCCTTATCCAGCCAGGCAGACGGCCCATCCCTGACCTGGTTCCTCATTCTTCCCTGTTATTTTATTGCTGTTTCTGAAGGTTGTGTTCAATTGACTCATGGAAATCTCCCTGCTGGACATCAGACGTGGCAGTCTGGATTATTACATTCTGCAGACGGGAACGAGGTCAGGGCAGTTCAGCCGAGGGGAAAGGCAGCGGTTTTGAAGCTGTATCAAGCAGACGAGAAGAGAAAGCCTGCAGCAGCTGGGTGCCTCCACCAGGAAAGTCAGATGCTCAATGCTGGATGACGTTTTCCTGGCAGACGTGGAGGACTGACATCGCCCGGATGATGCTCTAGGACAGTGGTTCTCAACCTGTGGGTCGGGACCCCATTTGGGGTCGAACGACCATTTCACGGGAGTCACCAAACAACGCAGTCCGCCATTTTTTCCCCCTTTTCCTTAGGTGTGCTACTCCCTTTTATTCTATTGGCTTTTGAAAGCCAATAGAATAGACTCTCTTGAATAGAGTCTAATTCTATTGGCTTTCCAAAGTCAATAGGAATTGCCCAGGCTGTCTCTGCCCTGCTGAGCCTGCCAAAAGTCCCATTCTGCAAACGGTGCTGCACCAGTTGAGTAGTCCTCGACTTACGACCAGTTGAGTAGTCCTCGACTTACAACCGGTTGGGGGTCACGGCATTAAAAAGGTTGAGAACCACTGGTCTAGGACTATAATTATCAGTGTGCAGAATCCAGATGCTGGCTAGAGGGCAGTAAGGGGACTGACTGAGCCGCCAGCTCTGAGTTATCTCAACTTGGTCAGCCCTGCCAGGAGCTCCTTGGCTGGGTTTTTTTTTTTTTTTTTTAGAGAGGGAAAAGGAGCAGCAGTAGCAGGGAGAGTCTGGGAAGCATGCTGGACCAGATTGGATGGATAGAAATGACTGAGAGAAGCTGGTCCCTCAGGCAGCCCAGTCCCAAACCACAAAGGTCTTTAAAAAGGGCAAGCAGCAGCCCGAATTGCACTCAGAAACACACCACAATGTAAAAAAGATGCTGAGACTCTAGAAAGAGTGCAGAGAAGAGCAACAAAGAGGATCAGGGGACTGGAAGCTAAAACAAATAAGGAACGGCTGCTAGAATTGGGTATGTCTAGTTTAATGAAGAGAAGGACCAGAGGGGACATGATAGCAGTGTTCCAGTATCTCAGGGGCTGCCCCAAAGAAGAGGGAGTCAAGCTATTTTCCAAAGCGCCTGAAGGCAGGACGAGAAGCAACGGATGGAAGCTAACCAAGGAGAGAAGCAACCTAGAACCAAGGAGAAACTTCCTGACAATTAGAACAATTAACCAGTGTAACAACCTGCCTCCAGAAGCGGTAAATGCTCCAACACTGGAAGTTTTTAAGAAGAGACTGGACACCCATTTGTCCGAAATGGTGCAGGGTTTCCTGCCTGAGCAGGGGGCTGGACTCGATGACCTCCAAGGTCCCTTCCAATTTTATTATTATTGTTGTTATTGTTGTTGTTGTTATTCCAAGAAAGCATCCTTTCAAGATTCCATCCGAGATTCCAAGAAAGCCTCCTTTCAAGATTCCTTTCAAGATTGCTTCTATTGAAAGAAAAATCTTCATCAGGGTCCAGTCTAAGCTGGGAATAAATAAAATGGAGACTGTTTTAGAAAGAAGGCTGTAGTTTATGGAAGAGGAGAGCCAGATAGAAGCATGGCTCTGGGAAAGCTGAACACATATAGTGGGGAGTGGTGGGTTTTTATACCTTCTTGGGCTTTTGTTTGGAGCTGTTCCTGTGGCATGAACTTTGACCTGAGTCTGAGTCTGCCTTTCTGGTATCCTGATGGTGGTGGGTTAATCCTATTATGTCCCAAAGGTCATATCCTGCTTCCCTGGGGCTGTGGCTGATGACTATGTCCTGTGTTGGATTTTTGGGTGTGAGGGATTGTTGATTCTAGGGATCTTTGTCTTTCTAATCCCGTCAGCTCTAAGCTTCCAGGTGCCAGTCTTTCTGTAAGGATTATCACATCTGCATTTCTACAGAGCTGGTTTCTGCTTGGGGGAGGGAGACTTGGGGCTATTAAGAAAAACTGGGCATGCTTTTCTGCCTTTTTAAGATCCTTTGAGTAAATATAATATTCTGCTCTTTTAATATATCCTTCTCTATGGATAAATTAACAAAAGAGATAAAAGAAAAGGAAGACACAGAGTACTATCTAATATGGAACAAGTGGTATGACTGGTTGGAGACTAGAACTAATAGAGGAGAATAAATGTGGAAAGGTCAAAAGTGGAAAATGTGTGTATAATAATGTATAGTAATAATAATAATATATATTATTCTTCGTATGAAGTATAGTGTGAAGGAAGAAAAATGCAAATAAGAAACAATGGGGCAACAAGGATAAATATTCTAAAGAAGAATAAGGGGGGAAATGTAAATAATAGAAGATTACTGTTATGAAATCGCTGTTAAGAAAAGGGAGGAGTATACACTGTGTGTGTATGTGTGTTTTGTTGGTTTAAAAAATAAAAAAAAAATAAAAAAAATATTTCCTTCTCTGGAGGGGGACTGACTTCCCACAATCCCCCCTTTGTGCCATATAAGTCTGGATGACACACTTTTACTGGCACCAGATTAAACATTTCCTAAAATACCCAGGCTGAATTAGCCAAGATGGTTGAGAATGATGGGCTGTGTAATGCAGCACATCTAGAGTGAGTCTGGCAAACATCTTCTAGTTAATTGCGAAGGCTTAAGGTGTGCTGAGTCATCTCTTCAAATCAACTGAATGTAGTTTGGATAGATTCCCTACACCGGTGCAAGATATTAATTAGATGAAATAAAACAGAGATGCTGAACAGAAATTGGCCAGCCTGTGAGACTTAGATATTTTTTTATTGAGGGCCTCTTTATTTTGAATTAGATAAACCTTTTCTTCCCTTTCCTTTCCTTCCCTTCCCCTTTTCTCTATTGCTTTGTCATGTTTTTTTCTTCCTTTCCTTTCCTTTTCTTTCCAACCTTCCAATCTTCCTTTCTTCCTTCCTTCCTTCCTTCCTTCCTTCCTTCCTTCCTTCCTTCCTTCCTTCCTTCCTTCCTTCCTTCGCCTTTTTTGAATTACAACCATCTTTTAAAAACATTGGAGCTTGTGTGTTAGGAATTGTGTTAGGACATACAGACACAGACAAACACACACACACATACACACACACCCTTTGGTATTTGCAGGTTCACACGTTTAAAATTGCAGTTTGCCTAGATCAAATTGGCAAGTAAGTTTATTTTGTAAATAAAATACTGGGATGCTAGTGCTGATATGTGTCCATATGCATATACATACATATAAGAGAAAAACCAATTCTTCTGCCTTTTGTTTGGAAAATGAAGGGCAACTTGCCGAACAAATGAATCCTGACGGCAGAAACTACTAATGTGTAAACTCTTCCTTTGCATCCAGTCTGCTCATTCCTTCTCACAGGATCTGACGTTTCTTTTTTCTTTGCAGGCACAACATGTTTCTTTCCCTTGGGAATTTGCTGATGTGTGGAACCATAACTGGTTGGCTGGGGAATTCTGGGAGTTGAAGTCCACCCATCTTCAAGTAGCCACAATGCATGGCTGGCTGGGGAATTCTGGGAGCTGAAGCCCATTCATCTTCAAGTAGCCACAATGCATGGCTGGCTTGGGAATTCTGGGAGTTGAAGTCCACCCATCTTCAAGTAGCCACAATGCATGGCTGGCTTGGGAATTCTGGGAGTTGAAGTCCACCCATCTTCAAGTAGCCACAATGCATGGCTGGCTGGGGAATTCTGGGAGTTTAAGGCCAGCCATCTTCAAGGGGGCACAGAACATAGCTGACTGAGGAATTCTGGGAGCTGAAGCCCATTCATCTTCAAGGGTGGACTTAGCTGACTGAGGAATTCTGGGAGTTGAAGTCCACCCATCTTCAAGTAGCCACAATGCATGGCTGGCTGGGGAATTCTGGGAGTTGAAGTCCACCCATCTTCAAGTAGCCACAATGCATGGCTGGCTGGGGAATTCTGGGAGTTTAAGGCCAGCCATCTTCAAGGGGGCACAGAGCATAGCTGACTGAGGAATTCTGGGAGCTGAAGCCCATTCATCTTCAAGGGTGGACTTAGCTGACTGAGGAATTCTGGGAGTTGAAGTCCACCCATCTTCAAGGGGGCACAGAGCATAGCTGGCTGAGGAATTCTGGGAGTTGAAGTCCACCCTTCTTTGAGCTCCTGAGGGCGAGAAAAACGGGAACAGATCTTTGTCTGGTTGAAATTGAAATTCATCCTAAGAGGCCAAGGAGTTCCATACCGATCACGGGAGAGAATTTCTCCGGCTTGCCCGTCTTTTGTGGGACCTTCTAGGTGGAAGGGCGTCCCCCATGTCTTCTGAACTCGAGCGGGCTCTGGCCCCGAACCCGTTCCTGCTGGGATTGGCACTCTCCCAGTCTGCACAGACCAGTTTCAGCTCCCACAGCGTGGTGTGCAGTTTCTTCAGCTTCTCCAGGAGTTGCTGGTCCTGCAGCTGCATTTCCTGCTGAAAAAGGGAGCAAAGGAGAGAGTGGGCGCATTCACACAGCAATCTGTCTATTATCTTGGTGCACATAATATATGGATCCGTAAATCAATGAAATGGATTGTCTTCAACCAAGATTATCGCTCTGTTAACTCTTGATGCCTCTGGCAGCCCTGTAAACGAACTAGTTCAGCATGTGTGAAGGCAGATAAAGCAGCAGGTGTTCAAACTTGGCCCTTTCATGGCTTGTGGACTTCAACTCCCAGAATTCCTGAGCCAGCATGGGGGAATTATGGCCCCCTCATGACCCATGGACTTCAACTCCCAGAATTCCTGAGCCAGCATGGGGGAACTATGGCCCCCTCATGACCCATGGACTTCAACTCCCAGAATTCCTGAGCCACCATGGGGGAACTATGGCCCCTCATGACTCGTGGACTTCAACTCCCAGAATTCCTGAGCCAGAAGGGGGAACGATGGCCCCCCTCATGACTCGTGGACTTCAACTCCCAGAATTCCTCAGCCAGCATGGGGGAATTATGGCCCCTCATGACTTGTGGACTTCAACTCCCAGAATTCCTGAGCCAGCATGGGGGAACTATGGCCCCCTCATGACCCATGAACTTCAACTCCCAGAATTCCTGAGCCAGCATGGGGGAACGATGGACCCCCTCATGACTCGTGGACTTCAACTCCCAGAATTCCTCAGCCAGCCATGCTGAGGGGAAAGGGAGAGATTTCCAAGCTGAGTCATGCTGGCTGAGGAATTCTGGGAGCTGAAGTCCACCAGTCATAAAAGGGCCAAGTTGGAAGACCCCTGTTCTATAGAATATATAAGGCAGGTATGAGTATTTTGAGGAAATCTTGAAGGAACATTCTGGAAAAAAAGAGCAGATAGAGGCCTGGTTCAGATTTTTGTGGGCTGTTTTGTGGCTCTGCAGCTGGAAGAGAGGTAATTATCACTAAACGTAGAACAAGGATAAGATTTCTGCTTTTTTCCCCCCCATAAAGAATGTAATACAGGTATGTAGTCCTAAACCAGGGGTCTTCAAAGTGGGCCCTTTTAGGACTGGTGGATTTCAATTCCCAGAATTCCTCAGCCAGGCATGCCTGGCTGAGGAATTCTGGGTGTTGAAGTCCACCAGTCAGAAAAGGGCCAAGTCTGAAGACCCCTGAGCTAAAGAATGTTAGGAATAGCCTTTGTTTGGCTACAGAATAGGTGGGCTTCTATACAGGCAGTCCTCGACTTACGACCGTGAGAGCACCCAAAATTTTGTTGCTAAGTGAGGCGGTTGTTTAAGCAAGCTTGGCTCCATTTTACAACCTTTCTTGGCCCAATTGTTCAGCAAGTCCCGGGAGTTAGTAACATGGGTTGTTAAATGAATCTGGGCTTCCCCCTTGACTTTGCTTGTCAGAAGGTCGCAAAAGGGGATCGCGTCGCCCCAGGACACTGCGACTGTCATAAATATGAGTCAGTGGCCGAGCGACTGAATTTTGATCACGTGACCCTGGGGGGATGCTGCAAAGGTTGTAGAGCAGTGGCCAAAATGGTGGAAACCTTTTGGGGAAAGTGTACAGTAGAAATAATAATAATAATAATAATATATAATAATAAATATAATAATAAAAATGCCTGGAGACAGCAGAATAGACGAGAAAGAACTGGAGAAGATAACAAAATACAAAGACCTACAAATAGAAATAGAAAGACTGTGGCAAAAGCAAGCAAGGGTAGTACCAATAGTCAATCCCAAAACAACTGGAGCACCACTTGAACACCATTGGCATTGACAAATTCGCTATTAGTCAATTGCAAAAGGTGGCCTTACTAGGAACTGCTTGCATCCTGTGACGATATCTGCAATACCATCAAACATCCACAGGTCCTGGGAAAGGACTCGATAGGTAGATAAAATGCCAAATCCAGTCTGAACATCTGGCTGATTGTGCGATGATCCATAATAATAATAATAAGCTATTGTTGTTGTTGTTAATTGCGAAGTCGTGTCCGACCCATCGCGACCCCATGGACAACGTTCCTCCAGGTCTTCCTGTCCTCTGCCATCTTCTGGAGTCCATTTAAATTCACGCATACTGCTTCAGTGACTCCATCCAGCCATCTCATTCTCTGTCGTCCCCTTCTTCTATTGCCCTCAATCTTTCCCAGTATTAGGCCCTTCTCCAGTGAGTCCTTCCTTCTCATTAGGTGGCCAAAGTACTTGAGTTTCAACTTCAGGATCTGGCCTTCTAAAGAGCAGTCGGGGTTGATCTCTTCTAGGACTGACCGGTTTGAACGCCTTGCAGTCCAAGGGACTCGCAGGAGTCTTCTCCAGCACCATAGTTCAAAGGCCTCAATTCTTTGGCGCTCAGCCTTTCTTATGGTCCAACTTTCACAGCCATACATTGCAACTGGGAAAACCATGGCCTGGACTATACGCACTTTTGTTGGCAGGGTGATGTCTCTGCTTTTTAGAATGCTGTCTAGATTTGCCATAGCTTTCCTCCCCAGGAGCAAGCGTCTTTTAATTTCTTGGCTGCAGTCCCCATCTGAGGTGATCTTTGAACCCAGAAAAATAAAATCTGTCACTACCTCCATTTCTTCCCCATCTATTTGCCAGGAATTGAGAGGGCCGGATGCCATGATTTTGGTTTTCTTGATGTTGAGTTTCAAGCCAACTTTTGCACTCTCCTTCTTCACCCGCATCAAGAGGCTCTTTAGTTCCTCTTCACTTTCTGCCATAAGCTATTAGTCAATTGCAAAAGGCGGCCTTACTAGGAACTGCTTCCATCCTGCGACGATATCTGTAATATCATCAAACATCCACATCTGACTATCCCAGGTCCTGGGTAAGGACTCGATAGATAGACAAAATGCCAAATCCAGTCTGAACATCTGGCTGACTGTGCGATGAGCCATAATAATAATAATAATAATAATAATAATAATAATAATAATAATAATAATAATAATAATAATAATAATAGTTGGAAGGGACCTTGGAAGTCATCTAGTACAACACCCTTTGGTTATGTTTTCACCCATTTTTCTTCTAATTTCTTTATAACTGTAGCCTCGTTCACTTAATAATTCTATTTTACATCGCTTTCTGGACGACCAGTCAACTCTTTGCACCGTGACTTTAACTTTATTACGTTTTACAAGCTCACTAAAGGAAAGAACACAAAAAAAACCAACACACTCGATAGCGATCACATAACACACTGACAAATGTCCTCCTCTCAGCTTCAATACAGGACCTCAATATCAGGATCCTACTGTGATCTGATTGGCTTATGGCCAAAGCAAGATGACATCTGATTAGCTCTCTAAATACTCAGGCTCATTGGCTACCATCGGATGAAGGAAAGCTCCCTGAGATCAACCTGAGCAAGTGGTGCTTCCTTTTTCCTGTTATTCGGCTATAACGTTTCATAGAATACAGTACAGATAATGGAACAAACTATGTTGCATTACATGCTCGATTAAATTATTTTTCCATTGATATACAATTTTGTGGTAATACTCCCCCCCAAAAAAGTGGCGTTATTAGCCATCCAACCTCAAAAATACACTTTTCCCCAAAAGGGTTCCACAGTTTGGGCCACAACTGTAAGTGTGAAAAATGGTTGTTGTTGTTGTTAATTGCGAAGTCGTGTCCGACCCATCGCGACCCCATGGACAACGTTCCTCCAGGCCTTCCTGTCCTCTACCATCTTCTGGAGTCCATTGAAGCTCACGCCTCCTGCTTCAGTGACTCCATCCAGCCACCTCCTTCTCTGTCGTCCCCTTCTTCTCTTGCCCTCCATCTTCCCCAGCATCAGGCTCTTCTCCAGTGAGTCCTTCCTTCTCATTAGGTGGATGGATGGATGGATGGATGGATGGATGGATGGATGGATGGATAGATAGATAGATAGATAGATAGATAGATAGATAGATAGATAGATATGGATTGTTGTTGTTAATTGCGAAGTCGTGTCCAACCCATCACCACCCCCTGGACCACGTTCCTCCAGGCCTTCCTGTCCTCTACCATCTTCTGGAGTCCCTTTAAGCTCACACCTGCTGCTTCAGTGACTCCATCCAGCCACCTCCTTCTCTGTCGTCCCCTTCTTCTCTTGCCCTCAATCTTTCCCAGCATCAGGCTCTTCTCCAGTGAGTCCTTCCTTCTCATTAGGTGGCCAAAGTACATGAGTTTCCACTTCAGGATCTGGCCTTCTAAAGAGCAGTCGGGGTTGATCTCTTCTAGGACTGACCGGTTGGATCGCCTTGCAGTCCAGGGGACTCGCAGGAGTCTTCTCCAGCACCAGAGTTCAAAGGCCTCCATTCTTTGGCACTCAGCCTTTCTTATGGTCCAGCTTTCACAGCCGTACATTGCCATTATATTGGCTTGCAAATAGATCAAGCAGCTTCATTGGATCCCTTTCCTGGCTGGATGCTGCCTGAGCTTCCAAGAGGAATGAGAGCTACATCAGGCAGGGGGGTCCACGCAGCAGGATCCCCGCAGGTTGCGTCTCTGTACAAGGAGACTCTCCCCCCCCCCTCTTCAAAGCCCCCATGCAGCTGAGTGATCCTGAAAACCGCCCAGCCCTCTCAGAAGAGAAACCACAGCAATTAGCTCTGCGGTGCTGATGTTGCCATGCCACTGACTAGGAGGAAAAGGGAAAGGAAAGGAAAGGTGGTGGTGATGGGGGGGTTACAGCACGAAAAAAACTCATGCATGTTCAAACAATTTTCAGAGCAGGTTAAAATGGAAGGAGGGAGGGAGGGAGGGAGGGAGGGAGGAAGGAAGGAAGGAAGGAAGAAAGGAAGAAAGGAGGTGGGAGGGCGGGAGGGAGGGAGGAGAAATTGGATGGATGGATAGAAAGAAGGAGAATGGGGAAGGAAGGAGGAAGGAAGGAAGGAAGGAAGGAAGGAAGGAAGGAAGGAAGGAAGGAAGGAGGTGAGTGGGCGGGAGGGAGGGAGGAGAAATTGGATGGATGGATAGAAAGAAAGAGAATGGGAAAGGAAGGAAGGAAGGAAGGAAGGAAGGAAGGAAGGAAGGAAGGAAGGAAGGAAAAAAAGAAAGGGAGGGAAGGAGGGAGGGAGGGAGGAGAAATTGGATGGAAGGAAGGAGAATGGAGAAGGAAGGAAGGAAGGAGAATGGGGAAGGTAGGAAGGAGAAATTGGATGGATGGATAAAAGGAAGTCACTTTTGGGGGACTCAGGAATAACTTCCTTTTAATAGAATAGAATAGAATAGAATAGAATAGAATAGAATAGAATAGAATAGAATAGAATAGAATAGAATAGAATAGAATATAGAAATAGAGCTGGAAGGGATCTTGAAGGTCTTCCAGTCCAGCCTCCTGCTGAAGCAGGAGAACCTATACCATCTCAGACAGGTAACTGTCCAGTCTCTTCTTTAAAATCTCCACTGATGAAGCACCTACAATGTCTGGTGGCAAGCTGTTCCACTGGTTAATTGTCCTCGCTGTCAGGAAGTTTCTCCTTAATTCCAGGTTGTTTCTCTCCTTGATCAGTTTCCAACCGTTGTTTCTCGTCCTTCCCTCTGGTGCTTTGGAGAATAATGTGACCCCCTCTTCTTTGGGGCAGCCCCTCAGATACTGGAATGCTGCTATCCTGTCTCCCCTATTTCTTCTTTTCTTTAGACCAGCCAAACCCAAGTCCTGCAGCCGTTCTTCGTATGTTTTAGCCTCCGGGCCTTTGACCATCTTAGTTGCTCTTCTCTGGATTTTTTCCAAACTCTCAACGTCTTTTTTGTGGCAGGGAGGAAGGAAAGGAAGGGATAGAGAGGGAAAGGAAGGAAGGAAAAGAAAGGGAGGGAGGGAGGGAAGGAGGGAAGCAAGGAAGGAAGGAAAAGAGGAAGGGAAGGAAGGAAAGGCAGGAAGAGAGGGAGGGAGGGAGGACGGAAGGAAGAAAAGGAAGGAAGGAAGGAAGGACGGACGGAAGAAAGGAAGGAAAGGAAAGGAAAGGAAGGGAGGGAGGGAGGCAGGAAGGAAGGAAGGAAGGAAGGAAGGAAGGAAGGAAGGAAGGAAAGAAGAAGACAAGGAAGAAGGGAGGGAGGACGGAAGGAAGGAAGAAAGGAAGGAAAGGAAAGGAAAGGAAGGGAGGGAGGAAGGCAGGAAGGAAGGAAGGAAGGAAAGAAGAAAAGGAAGAAGGGAAGGAAGGAAGGAAAGGAAAGGAAAGGAAGGGAGGGAGGAAGGCAGGAAGGAAGGAAGGAAGGAAAGAAGAAAAGGAAGAAGGGAAGGAAGGAAGGAAAGGAAAGGAAAGGAAAGGAAGGGAGGGAGGGAGGCAGGCAGGAAGGAAGGAAGGAAAGAAGAAGAGAAGGAAGAAGGGAGGAAGGACGGAAGGAAGGAAGGAAAGAAAAGGAAGGAAGGAAGGGAAGCAGGAAGGAAGGAAGGAAAGAAGAAAAGGAAGAAGGGAAGGAAGGAAGGAAAGGAAAGGAAAGGAAAGGAAGGGAGGGAGGCAGGCAGGAAGGAAGGAAGGAAGGAAAGAAGAAGAGAAGGAAGAAGGGAGGAAGGACGGAAGGAAGGAAAGAAAAGGAAGGAAGGAAGGGAAGCAGGAAGGAAGGAAGGAAAGAAGAAGAGAAGGAAGGGAGGGAGGAAATCCTTATGATAACTTGATCCCTTCATTACAGTGCTAGATCAGGGATCCATCCCTTTGAGAGAAAACCCCTGTTGCCAGGAGCAACCAAGGGCCCTGGAAAAAAGAAGAGGGGGGGGATGGATTCACCCCTTGCGTGTGACCATGCCCTCCTTGAACCCCGCCAGCCAGCCGACCCCAGAGGGCCAGACCTTCCCCAGGTGAGGCGTTTCCCATCCTGCCACCTGTGGAGCAGCTGCGCCTGCCCATCCCTGCCTGTGGCCTGGGGAGCGCCAGGGGCGGCGCCAGGGGCAGCGGCCCTGCTGGGTGGGAAGGACAAGGGTTCCCCCCCCCCATCTCCGTGTACCTGGGAAGACCCAGCGTGAAAAGGAGAGGAGGATGGACTTACCAGCTCGCTCCGCAGCCATGCCAGGGCGCTTTCAATCCTCAGTTCGGGCTCTCCAGCCAGCTGCGCACCGCCCTTGGGGAGCATCCCTCCAGCTGTGTGCGTGTCAGATAGGCCTTGGAGATGTGCCAGCTGATGCCTGTCTTCCACCACAGCTCCCTCCTCCTCCTCCTCCTCCTCCTCTTGATCCGAACCCTGTGCAAGCAGCTACGCAACCCTTCCCTCCCGCAGGCTGCCGCCGTGTAGAGGCAGCAGAAGGCACGCCGCTGGGCATCTGCCTTTGCCTCTGTGCCAGGCTGGGTGGGAGGGTCGCTGTGGGTAGCTCTCTCTCTCTCCCCTTCTCCCTCTCCTCAGCCCCTTCAGCCCGGTCTCCACAAAAGAGAGGGTCTTTGCTTGGAGTTGGGTGAAGCTGTAGCTGCTGCTCCCTCCTCGCCAGGGTAAGACACCGGGAATAACAGAACCACAGAGATGGAAGGGACCTTGGAGGTCTTCTAGCCCAACCCTCTGCTCAAGCATACACCCTACATCAGTCTGGACAAATGGCTGTCCAGTCTCTTCTACTTCTCTTCCAGTTTCTACTGCGTTGCCATAGAGTAGAGAAGAGTAGAGTAGAAGAATAAAATAGAGCAGAGCAGAGTAGAGTAGAGTAGAGTAGAGTAGAAGAATAGAATAGAATAGAGTAGAAGAATATAGAGTAGAGTAGAGTAGAGTAGAAGAATAGAATAGAATAGAGTAGAAGAATAGAGTAGAGTAGAGTAGAAGAATAGAATAGAATACAGTAGAGTAGAAGAATATAGTAGAGTAGAAGAATAGAATAGAATAGAGTAGAAGAATAGAATAGAGTAGAATAGAAGAATAGAATAGAGTAGAGTAGAAGAATATAGAATAGAGCAGAGAAGAATAGAATAGAATAGAACACAACACAATACAATACAATACAATAATATCTTTATTGTCTAAATGTACGCTAATCAGCATATATTAAAATGAGATTTCTTTGCATTCAGCTCTCAAAAGGTAATCACATCCAATACACACTGCTTAAACATGACAAATAAATAAATAAATAAAATTATGCATACACCGAATATAATAATATATTATATAATATAATATCAAGAACATAATGGCGGAGGATGTGTTGATTCATCTGTCTCTGCTGCGAGGTAGCTTCAGTAATAAGCGAGATGAGTTTTCATCTTCCCTTTTCCTAAACGTTTTCCACCATGTTCCAATGACCTGAGCTGAGAAATGGACCAAAGCCTTTATGAGCTCTGCACTTAGGAGGAAACATTCAAGAGGGATCATGTCAATGTCTCTGATCTTCTCTGACTCTCACAAGGCTGCTAAATCTTTAACAGGAGAGTCACCTGTTCCAGCCAGAAAATTTCCCAGAACTCTCTGGAATCCACTCATGGTTTCTTGGAGAAAGCTAATAAGATCCTCTTATTAGCACCAAGGACCCCCACAATCGTTGTCGTCGTCGTCCTTCTCCTCCTCTCTACAAATCCCACTCCTTTCTAGAACTGATGATGTTCCCTAGCTGGGTAGTGAAATGTCTGCAAGCAAACCACCAAGCAGAAAGAGCACCAGGGACTCCACAATTCTTCTTCTTCTTCTTCTTCTTCTTCTTCTTCTTCTTCTTCTTCTTCTTCTTCTTCTTCTTCTTCTTCTTCTTCTTCTTCTTCTTCTTCTTCTTCTTCTTCTTCTTCTTCTTCTCCTCCTCCTCGTCCTCCTCCTCGTCCTCCTCCTCGTCCTCCTCCTCCTCCTCCTCCTCCTCCTCCTCCTCCTCCTCCTCCTCCTCCTCCTCCCTGCAAATACCATTCCCTTCTATGCCTTTCCAATACTAAGAGATATAGCCTAGGCCCGGGGTGGGGAACCTTGGCTCTTTTATGTCTTGTGGACTTCAACACCCAGAATTCCTGAGCTAGCCCAGGAATTCTGGGAGTTGAAGTCCACAAGCCACAAAGGAGTCATAGTTCCCCCATGCTGGCTCAGGAATTCTGGGAATTGAAGTCCACGAGTTATGGGGGTGCCATAGTACCTCATGCTGGCTCAGGAATTCTGGGAGTTGAAGTCCCCGAGTCATGAGGGGGCCATAGATCCTCCATGCTGGCTCAGGAATTCTGGGAGTTGAAGTCCATAAGCCACGAAGGGGCCATAGTTCCCCCATGCTGGCCCAGGAATTCTGGGAGTTGAAGTCCACGAGTCATAAAAGAGCCAAGGTTCCCCACCCCTGGCCTAGGAGATTCTAGGGAGTGGCTACTCTATGTCTCCGATTCACTGAAGAACAGCAAGGTTGTGCAAAACTATTTTCCCCTAGGATATACTGAAGGTAAGAGACTGGCTGGTTGCCTTCATAATAATGGTTGTAATTATAATTACATTTGACCTGTCAAGCTATGCTATAGCCTTCTGGTCTTGGCTACCAGCCTGGAGGAATTGGACTCTAATGTTTGTCTTTCATATCCCATGTCAAACCAGATGGAGTCAAGTTGAAAAGGGATTTGGGGGGGGGGCAATGCAAAGAGTGTTCAGGACCTTGGAGAGCACAGAACAGTCCTGGGTGTTTCAAGCATTCTCTCAGGAAAGGACCCAACAACCCCTTCAGACATGGTTATACCAGCAGATCTACAGACACTAGGGCAGGGGTAGGCAACCTCAGCTCTTTTATGACTTGTGGACTTCAACTCCCAGAATTCCTGAGCCAGCATAGCTGGGAGTTGAAGTCCACGAGTCATAAAAGAGCCGAGGTTGCCTACCCCCTGCACTAGGGGACAGTTGAACTGGTGAGGTGGCTCCATTACTACTAATATCTCTTCGCCTATTTGTTTTGTTTTATTTCTTACCTATTTATTTGCATTAGTTTTAGATTACTTTATCCTGCTTCAGTAGCATATCTAATAGTCCTTCCTCCTCCAGTTTTCCCAGCAACAACCCTATGAGGTGAGATTGGCTCAAAGTCATTCAGTTGGCTTTCACGTCTAAGATGGACCAAACACCAGAAGATGGTAAGTTCTAGTCCTGCTTTAGGCATGGAAGCTGGCTAAGTGACCTTGGGCCAATCGCCAGGAGATGGTGAGTTCTAGTCCCACCTTAACCATGAAAGCCGGCTGGGTGACTTTGGACCAATCATCAGGAGACTGTGAGTTCTAGTCCTGCCTTGTGCATGAAAGCCAGTTGAGTGACTTTGGGCCAATCACCAGGAGACAGTGAGTTCTAGTCCCGCCTCGGGCATGAAAACTGACTTGTGACCTTGGGCCAATCCCCAGGAGGTGGTGAGTTCTAGACCTGCCTTAGGCATGAAAGCTGGCTGGGTGACTTTGGACCAATCATCAGGAGACTGTGAGTTCTAGTCCTGCCTTAGGCACGAAAGCTGGCTGGGTGACTTTGAGCCAATCACCAGGAGACGGTGAGTTCTAGTCCTGCCTGAGGAATGAAGGCCTGCTGGGTGTCTCTGGCCAATCATCAGGAGATGGTGAGTTCTTGTCCTGCCGTAGGCATTAAAAAACGTATGCAAGATTTGGGTTACGCTAGTCTAAAGAAAAGAAGAAACAGGCGCAACATGATAGCAGTATTCCAGTATCTGAGGCGCTGCCAAAAGACACAGGGGGTCAGGTTGTTCACCAAAATACCAGAGGGAAGGAGGAGAAACAATGGATGGAAACTGATCAAGGAGAGAAGCAACCTGGAATTAAGGAGAAACTTCCTAACAGTGAGGACAATCAATCAGTGGAACAGCTTGCCACCAGAAATTGCGGGCGCTCCATCACAGGAAGTTTTTAAGAAAAGACTGGACAGCCACTTCTCTGAAATGGCATAGGTTCTCCTGCTTGAGTGGGGGGAGGAGGGGCTGGACTAGAAGACCTCCAAGGTCCCTTCCAGCTCTATTCTATTCATCATCATCAAGATAGCTGGGTGACTTTGGGACAATCACCAGGAGACGGTGAGTTCTAGTCCCACCTTAGGCACAAAAATGGGATGGGTGTCTTTGGGCCAGTCCTTCTTCCTCAGCCCAGCCCAGCATTTGTAACCTTGACCATGCTGGCTGCGGAATCCTAGGAGTTGAAGTCCGGCCGAAACCCTGGCCCAACCCATCAAATAGGGTTGTTGTTATGGGGACAAGAAGGGGAGGATGGAGTGCAAAGTATCTTCGCTACCTTGAGTGACTTACAATGTAAAGTCAAACACAAGGCCCGGGGGAAACTAGAAATTGGGGAAAACTAATTAGGACATTGATTGCCTATAACAGACATGTCAAACACAAGGCCTGGAGGCCGGATGCGGCCCGCGATGTAGTTTCATGTGGCCCATGAATCCATCCTGGAAACAGTGAGGGAACGGCCTCCACTGCCTTGGCCCTGGCCCAGACCGGCCGGGAGCCAATGTACAATTTTGTGGTGGCCATCTATGCTGAAACGCATTCAGTCTTAATTCCACAAAGCCGTCCGGAAACAGCGAGAAACCAGCCCCTGCCGTGTTGGCCCCGTGCCCTGGGTGCATGCTGGGGAGGTGTCACCCTTTGTGAGGAATGAAGAAATGGACCATGCCTTGGCGCTTGCCTTGGTCCCCCCCCCCTTCTGCCGGAGACCCTCAGATCTGTCCCACTCCTGCCCAGGCCCCCACAGGCACCCTTGACGCGAACGATGTAGAGCTGGCCATGCCCACCCAGTAGACCACACCCACTTCATCCATGCCCACCCAGTAGGCTGCACCCACCCTGGCCACCCCCCCCCAGGGCAACCACAATGCTGATGCGACCCTCAATGAAATTGAGTTTGACACCCCTGATCTAAATCAAAAGAAACAGGTAAAATTAAAATATAACAAACAAACCTTATACCAACACCATACAAGAAAGTAACCAACCCGCCGGCCAGCCAATAAACAAGACGGAGAATGTATTTATTTATTGGCTGGTTGGTTGGTTGCATTTGTGTTGGGTTCCGCCGAAGAAGGAAGACTCGGATGCTGTTGACCCCATGGGAGAGAGATTGCACTCTGAACCAGCTGTAGCCGCCATCACACCATTCCCCCCCCCCCGCCATCCCTCTAAAGAGGCCCGACAATTGTCACACTTTGATAAGCCCACCCCCCTCCCGCCCTCCTTGTCCGCCACGGGTTACGAGGACCCTCCGGGGTCTTCCCAGCTATCTCTTCTCCATCATGGGCTGGCGTCCAGCCAGACGGTAGCTGATGTTTGGGGGGTTGGGTGGGTTAGCGATCCCTTTCCCTTCCTTCTGCTTGGTTGGGGAGTGGGGACGGAGGTGGTGGTGGTGGGGATCGGAGGCGATCCGCCTTCGCCTGCGCCAACCCTCACCCCGGCGGAGGTAAGGGGTGCCCCTTCCCTCCCTCCCTCCCTCCCTCCCTTCTTTCCTTGCCAGGCGATTCCCGGAAGGCCGGCTCAGGCCGCCGCAACAAGCAACTCCTCCCTCCCCTCTCCTGCCAGGAAGAGAGACTCCCCCCCCCCGAGGGCTCCTGGGATGGGTGGGGGGAGATAGGAAGACGCAGCTGTCAGTCGGAGCAGCAGGTGCTTTGGCTGCGTTTCCTAGCAGCCCCACGCCGCCCTTTCCCTCTTCCCGCCGGGCCTGACGCAGGATCTGGATCTCCATCGCACGTGGGGGGGGGTCGGCGTGGGGGGGGGGGAGAGAAAACAGGCAGGAGGCTCGCGGGACGAACGACGGAGTGGGGGAAAGCGGGCAGCGCCGTGGTGCTGAACGGACAGCGACCGCCAGCCCCGCCTTGCGCGACCCGCAGCGCCGCCAGCCGCCGCCGGGGGGCGCCGCGGGGACTGCGGTGAGCCCGGCCTCGCCAGCTTCCCCCCCCCCGCCCCTCAACAATCCCTCTCCCCGAAGCAGCAGCCCGTCTCGTCGCTGCCCGGCTCGGCCTCGATCCTCCCGGCAGACTCTCGCCTCCATGGTCGTGCGCCCAAGCGAGCTTCGCCAGCCGGGAGGAGAAGACCCCGCTGGAGGAGCCCGGCCAGGCAGCATGCGCCCCGAGGCAGGTGGGCAGGCGGGCCGGGCAAGGACAGGTAGGAGGGGAGCCGAGAGCTAGTTGCTGGAGGGCACGTAGGAAGGCAGCAGCCTGGGCGGTGGAAAGGCGACGACCCCCCCCCCCAGTCGGTTGGGATGTTCGGGAAGACAGGCCGGGCTGGAATTCTGCAGGGGGGGGGGAAAGGGACTCTCTTCCCCATCGTTCCCAGCCGGCACCATCCATCTAGACGGGCTAGGTTAGCGGGGTGGGGGAGGTGGGGTGGGGTCTACAGCAAGGAGCACCGGAACGGTTCCACTGCGGAGAAGGGAAAGCGCTCGGACTGTGCCGGTGGAGCCCCCCCCCTCCCACTTCCCGCCTATCGACCCTCGGGAAAACCGCGTCGTTTGAAAGCGTTCCCTTCGGGCAGGTCCTCCGCCGCGCCTTCCCGGCTGCTGCTGCTGCTGCTGCAGAAGGTCGGAGCTGTCCCTTCCCTGTCCCAGAGAGCCAAGGCAGAGATAGGCGCTTCCCGGAGGGGCTCGGAGGGAAGGCTTGTTGGGCTGGCTGGGGGGGGGGGAATGGTGGTGGCTGGGGGGGGGCGTTTGGTGGGTTTGAGAAAGGGGGGACGAGCAGGTCCAAGGCAGGCAAGGGCTGTCCTCAATCCCAGAGACTTGCCAGCCCAAAAGAGCTGCATTCACACAACAGGCTAGGCTGGTTAAGGAGATCCGCCTTTAGTCGTTTTGATGGTTTAGCTAGCTTCTCCGACCAATTTAAGCCGGGTCCAGTGCAAGCCAAAGCTGATCAGGCTCCTCCTTATGGGATTGGCGCCTAATCCTAGATTAGTTGGTTAATATAGGATTCCAGCAGAGCAGAGAGAGAGGGGAAGAGAGAGGCACACTTCTGTATGGATGGCAGATTTCATCGTGATTTCAAATTCCCTCTAAGTATTTAGAAGCAGTCTGGACTAGTAGTTATGGCAGCAGGCTAGAAAGTGAGGGATAATTACCAGGTGAGATTGAAAGTCAGCTGGGTGACTTTGGGCCAATCCCCAGGAGATGGTGAGTTCTAGTCCTGCCTTAGGCATGAAAGCTGGCTGGGTGACTTTGGGCCAATCCCCAGGAGATGGTGAGTTCTAGTCCCACTTTAAGTTTGAAAGTCAGCTGGGTGACTTTGGGCCAGTCACTAGGAGACGGTGGGTTCTAGTCCTGCCTTAGGCATGAAAGCCGTCTGGGTGACTTTGGGCCAATCACCAGGAGATGGTGAGTTCTAGTCCTGCCTTAGGCATGAAAGCTGGCTGAGTGACTTTGGGCCAATCCCCAGGAGATGGTGAGTTCTAGTCCTGCCTTAGGCATGAAAGCTGGCTGAGTGACTTTGGGCCAATCTCCAGGAGATGGTGAGTTCTAGTTCCACCTTAAGTTTGAAAGTCAGCTGGGTGACTTTGGGCCAGTCACTAGGAGACAGCAAGTTCTAGTCCTGCCTTAGGCATGAAAGCTGGCTGAGTGACCATAGGCCAATCCCCAGGAGATGGTGAGTTCTAGTTCCGCCTTAGGTGTGAAAGTCAGCTGGGTGACTTTGGGCCAGTCACTAGGAGACGGTGAGTTCTAGTCCTGCCTTAGGCATGAAAGCCGGCTGAGTGACCATAGGCCAATCCCCAGGAGATGGTGAGTTCTAGTTCCGCCTTAGGTGTGAAAGTCAGCTGGGTGACTTTGGGCCAGTCACTAGGAGACGGTGAGTTCTAGTCCTGCCTTAGGCATGAAAGCCGGCTGAGTGACCATAGGCCAATCCCTCTCTCTCAGCCCAACCTACCTCACAGAGTTGTTGTTGGGAAAAGAGGAGGAGGAAAGTGTGTTGGATACGTTCACCACCTTGAGTTATTTATAAAAATAATAAGGGTAGGATGGAAATAAATAAATAAATAATATAAAATAAAATAAAATTACATTTATGGGGCTTTCTCTGTATCCCTGGGTATGTTGGCAGACGATGCTTCACCAGAGCCCTTAAGCATTTAGAAAGGGTTTTATTTATCCTTACTTTCAGCTGTTTATAGCTTATGCCATTTGGATGGTTCAAAATTTCAGAATTTGGTGTAAAGCAAGAAAATGGGTTGATTCAGCAGCCAAGGGGAATAGGCTGGGCAAACCCAGGTCATTGGTAAGGTGTTACGGCGTATGAAAAATCAAATGCACAGGTACAGCGTAGGTCCATGGTGGCGAACCTATGGCACGGGTGCCAGAGGCGGCACTCAGAGCCCTCTCTGTAGGCACGCGTGCCGTCGCCTCACTCCTAGGCCTTCAGCTGGGTTGTATAAAACCTTTTCGCTTGAGGCCTCCGCCACCGTGTGCAAAAAAAAAAAAAAGTTTCAATCAATCAATCAATTTCAACTTCTCACGGGGAAAAAGATCTTGCAAAGTTGGAATTGATTGATTGAACTTTTTAGCCCCACCCAGTCTGCCGTTACCACCGCAGCCATGCCCACCCAATCAGCCATGCCCACCCAATGGGCCACGCCCACCCGGCACCTGATGATACATGTGGGTTTTGGGTTGCAGTTTGGGCACTCGGTCGCTAAAAGGTTCGCCATCACCGGTATAGGTGGTACCCAGCTCAACAGCTGTAACTGTGATTCACTGAACAACAATACGGCAAGAAAGTTCGTAAAATAGGGCAAAGCTAGGCTGCATCAACAGAGGGATAGAATCAAGATCACGCCAAGTGTTAATACCAATTTACAAGGCCTTGGTAAGGCCACACCTGGAATTCTGCATCCAGTTTTGGTCACCACGATGTATAAAAAATGCTGAGACTCTAAAAAGAGTGCAGAGAAGAGCAACAAAGATGATCAGGGGACTGGACGATAAAGCATATAAGGAACGGTGGCTGGAATTGGGTATGTCTAGTTTAATGAAGAGAAGGACAAGGGGGGACATGATAGCAGAATTCCAGTATCTCAGGGGCTGCCCCAAAGAAGAGGGAGTCAAGCTATTCTCCAAAGCCCCTGAAGGGAAGACAAGAAGCAATGGATGGAAACTGGTCAAGGAGAGAAGCCTAAGGAGAAATTCCTGGAGAAATTTCCTGACAGTTAGAACAATTAACCAGTGGAACTACCTGCTTCCAGAAGTTGTGGGTGCTGCATCACTGGAAGTTTTTAAGAGACTATCACCTATATGAAATGGTATAGAATCTCCTGCTTGAACAGGGGGTTGGACTAGAAGACCTCCAAGGTTCCCTTCCAGCTCTATTCTATTCTATTCTATTCTATTCTATTCTATTCTATTCTATTCTATTCTATTCTATTCCATTCCATTCCATTCATAAGATACAAATAAGTTAAAGTCATAAGATGTTAAAGGAATAGGTAATAGGAAAGATAATAATAATAATAATAATAATAATAATAATAATAATAATAATAAGAAGAAGAAGAAGAAGGGGAAGGGGAAGGGGAAGGGGAAGGGGAAGAAGAAGAAAAAGAAGAAAAGAAGAAGAAGAAGAAGAAGAAGAAGAAGAAGAAGAAGAAGAAGAAGAAGAAGAAGAAGAAGAAGAAGAAGAAGAAGAAGAAGAAGAAGAAGAAGAAGAAGAAGAAGAAGAAGAAGAAGAAGAAGAAGAAGAAGTTGGAAGGGACCTTGGAGGTCATCGAGTCCAACCCCCTGCTCAGGCAGGAACCCTACACCATTTCAGACAAATGGCTGTCCAGATACAGTCCTGCAATAGGTGGTTTGACATCCCAGGGCATAAAAATGTAGTGGCATTTAGTTGCTTAGCAGAGGGATGACATGGGGAAAAAATTGTCCTTGGGTCTAGTTGTTTTTTTGCATGCCATGCCCTATAAGAGTCATCTTGAAGGAAGAAGTTGAAAGAGTTCACGTCCGCACGAGGTCCCGTGTCCTCATCCGTTTGATGCCTGTGTTTTTTTTTATGTACCTGCAGGTGAAGTACTAAGGGGGATGACCAAGGAGACCTCATCCCAATGGCGTCCACTAGTCCTCTGGAATTGACGGTCTTGGAGAGTCATCTGGGGTCCAGCCAGAGAGCGAGGCCAGGGAAGCCTTCAGCACCACGGACAGCTGCCGGGCCAGGCATTGAGAATGCCTCTTACCAGAGGGAGGAAGAGGAAGAGGAAGAGGAAACGTCTTTCCAGAAAGGACCGGGGAACGCCAAGGAACATCCAGCCCCTCCCGCCGATGACCTTTCTCCGAGGTCGGAGGATACCCCATTGTCAGACCCAACCGGGAACTCGGTGGACTACGGCTTCATTTTGGCCCTGGTGTTCCTGGTGGGCGGGATTTTGCTGGTGATCGTGGCTTACAGCATCCCGCGTGAGGCTCGGGTGAACCCAGACACGGTGTCTGCCCGGGAGATGGAGAGACTGGAGATGTACTATGCCCACCTCAGCTCCCATTTGGACAAGTGCATCATCGCCGGCTTGGTCATGTTGACTTTGGGCGGGATGCTCCTCTCCGTGCTCTTGATGGTCTCCATGTGTAAAGGGGAGCTGTATCGGAGGAGGACATTCCCAGTGTCCAGAGGGCCCCGGAAGACCTATGGGTCAATCAACCTGAGGATGAGGCAGCTCAACGGAGAAGGAGGACAGACTTTAGTGGAGAACGAGGTCCTTCAGATGACCGAAATGACCAACGCCACGCAGAGCTGCTGATAGCGCTCCGATTTGAGGGATTGGATACAGTCCTCTCTATGGGGTCCTTGGTGCTCTCTGAGCTTGGTGGTTTTCTTGCAGACATTTCATGACCCAACTAGGGAACATCATCAGTGCTGTAGAGGAAGAGGAGGAGGAGGAGGAGGACGACGACGACTCTGAGGTCCTTGGTGCTCTCTGAGCTTGGTGGTTTTCTTGCAGACATTTCGTGACCCAACTAGGTGACATCAACAGTGCTAGAAGGGAATGGAGTGCGGAGGTGGAGGAGGAGGAGGAGGAGGAGGAGGAGGAGGAGGAGGAGGAGGAGGAGGAACGACGACTCTGGGTCCTTGGTGCTCTCTGAGCTTGGTGGTTTTCTTGCAGACATTTCGTGACCCAACTAGGTGACATCAACAGTGCTAGAAGGGAATGGAGTGGGAGGTGCAGGAGGAGGAGGAGGAGGAGGAGGAGGAGGAGGAGGGAGGAGGAGGAGGAGGAGGAGGAGGAGGAGGAGAGGAGGAGGAGGAGGAGAACTGTGGAGTCCTTGGTGCTTTCTGAGCTTGGTCATTTTCTTGCAGATATTTCATGACCCAACTGGGGAACATCATCAGTGCTAGAAGGAATTGGGGATGACCTCTGAATGAAACCTCTGGAAGAAAACAATTGAGCTCAAAGAGCACCAAGGATCATTATCACCTCCTCCTCCTCTTCCTCCTCCTCCTCCTCCTCCTCCTCCTCCTCCTCCTCCTCCTCCTCCTCCTCCTCCTCCCTTCTAGCACTGATGATGCTATGTAGTCAGGTTATGAAACATCTGCAAGGACACAGCCCCAGCTCATTTCATCCCTTCTGTCACTACGGTCCTTTTGAAGAAGTAACTGGAAGGACAACGATGCACAACAACTTTCCTTATTATGGGATGGTTTTGTGTAGTTCAAAACTGGGGGAATTTTTCTTTCCTAAAACAAAACATGTGCACAGAAGCGGTTTCAGTCCAGTGATGCCTCTCTGGCTAACACTCACAGGTTTGTTTGTTTTTTTAATATTTATTTTAAAAAAAGCCTGTTCTGGAAACACTGTTAGGGAACCCAATATTTAATGTTTACCTCCAAAGGGAATCGGGACTTCTCTTTGAAGCAGTGAGAGAACCGTTGGAGTCTCCCCTAACGTTTTCGATGTTATAAGCCGGATGCACACACACGTTTCAACTGTTCGACTGTTCTACTACCAAAATGCCTAGACTGGAAAAATAGACCCCCACAATCCCTCTCTGGAGATTGGCTGTGATTTGAATGACCGACCACCAAGTACAGTTAAAGTTGGTTTGATTTTCTGAACTACGTGATTCTCTCTCTCTCTCCCTCTCTCTCTTTCTTCCTCTCTCTCTCTTTTTCTCTCTCCCATTCTCTCTTTCCCCCTCTCCCTCCTTCTCCCTCCCTCTCTCCTCTCTCTCTCCCTCTCTCTCACCTCCCTCCCTCTCCCTTTCTTCCCTTTCTCCTTTGTGTCTCTCTCCCTCCCTCCCTCTTCCTCCATCTCTCTCCCCTCTCTCCCCTGTGTCTCTCTCCCCCTTTTCTCCTCCCTCTCCCCCTCCCTCCCTCCCTTTCTCCCCTCTCTCCCGTGTCTCTCTCCTTCTCTCCTCCACTCCCTCCCTTTCTTCCCTCTCTCCCCCCTTTCTCCTCCCTCCCTCTCTCCCTCCCCATCTCTCTTTCTCTCCCTCCCTCCCACCTCTCTCTCCCTTTCTCCCTCCCTCCTCCCTCCCTCTCCCTTTCTCCCCTCTCTCCCGTGTCTCTCTCCCTCTCTCCCCACTCCCTCCCTTTCTTCCCTCTCTCCCCCCTTTCTCCTCCCTCCCTCTCTCCCTCCCCATCTCTCTTTCTCTCCCCCCCTCCCACCTCTCTCTCCCTTTCTCCCTCCCTCCTCCCTCCCTCTCCCTTTCTTCCCTCTCTCCCGTGTCTCTCTCCCTCTCTCCCCCACTCCCTCCCTTTCTCCCCTCTTTCCCCCTTTTTCTCCTCCCTCCCTCTCTCCCTCCCACCTCTCTCTCCCTCCCTCCCTCCTTCTCCCTCCCTCTCCCTCCCTTTCTTCCCTCTCTCCTTTCTGTCTCTCTCCCTCTCTCCCTCCCTCTTCCTCCCTTTCTCTCCCCCTCCCTCCCTCTCTCCCCTCTCCTCTGTCTCTTCCCCCTCTTTCTCCTCCCTCTCCCTCCCCCTCTCTCCCTCCCTTTCTCCCCTCTCTTCCCTGTGTCTCTCTCCCCCTTTCTCCTCCCTCTCCCTCCCCCTCCCTCCCTCCCTTTCTCCCCTCTCTCCCCTGTGTCTCCCTCCCTTCCCCTCTCCCTCCCTTTCTCCCCTCTTTCCTGTGTCTCCCTCCCTCTTTCTCCCTCTTTTTCCTCCCTCCCTCTCTCCCACCCCCTCTCTCCCCCTCTCCCTCTCTCCTCCTCTGTCTCTCTATCTCTCTCTACCTCTGTCTCCCCCTTCCTCTCCCCCCTTCTCTCTTTTCCTGCAATCTTGAGCAATAGCAACCTCTGTGCCACTTTGCGTATCGGCCACCGACCCTCACAACCGCACCTCTCACAACCCTTGCCAGTGTGAGCGGGTTTCTACAGCTCCACTGCATTTCCCTAAGTGGTGTTCCCTGTTTGTGAATGCCGAGCCTTGTGAAACACAACCTCACCCATAAAACTCATAAGCACACAAACACACAATCCACACCAGCAAAAAAAAGAAAAAGAAAAAAGAAAAACCCACCACATCACATTTCCATGACTTGACCGCCTCTTTGGTGACCGACAAACACACAATCCTGGTTTTCAAACCATTTTTTTTTTTGCCCCAGCCGCTTTGCCCTTCCTCTTTGCCCGCTCTCCTGATTTTGGAAATTTTATTCTCTGGATAAAATTACCTCTCGGGTGCAACCTATGAAACGTGAATGCTCACCCGCGCGCGGCTCACCCTAGTCGGGGATGTGTCAGCAGAAAGTTTAAAAATGGAACTCGTGCAGAGGTGGAATTGAAAGGTGACCTCTGAATTTACAGACAAGCCGCCACAGTCCAGAAAAAAACAGGAATTCTTTGATATTCAGGATTTCCAAGAGGGAAGGGAAATCGAGCAGCTGCCTTGCCCGTTTCTTTTGATAGGATACCTCCCCGTTGCATCACCCCGTCCCACAAATGCCTCTTGTTTATATTGACAAAAAAGGAGAGGGAAAAAAGTGTCGTTTTAAAAATAAAGCGTAAGAAAATAATAAACTCTTTGTGCAAGAATCTGGTACCTTCGTTGGGCTCAATCGCACCGTTTGGTTTGCTGCATTCTTTGCCCTTTCGGTTTGTCGTTTGTAAAGCAAAGGCGGAAAATGTTAGTTTATTCAACAGAGGGAGAAGCCTCGACTTATAACGATTCATTTGGTGACCGTTCACAGTTGCAGTGGCGCTGAAAACAGAGACGTGTGACCGATTCTCACGCTTGCTACCGTCGCAGCAGCATCACAGTCAAGGAATCAAAATTCAAGCGTTGTCCCGCGGTCACGTGGCTGCCATTTGGTGGCTTTTTGGGCTGGCTTCATTGCAGGAAGCCGAATTCAATTAACGACCGCTCAATTCACTTAGAAAATATAGAATAGAAGCTGGAAGGGACCTTGGAGGTCTTCTAGTCCAGCCCCCTGCTGAAGCAGGAGAACCTACACCATCTCGGACAGGGGATTGTCTAGTCTTTTCTTAAAGATCTCCAGTGATAGAGCGCCCACGATTTCTGGTGGCAAGCTGTTCCACTGGTTGATTGTCCTCACTGTCAGGAAGATTCTCCTTAATTCCAGGTTGCTTCTTTCCTTGATCGGTTTTCAACTTGTTGTTTCTTGTCCTTCCCTCTGCTGTTTTGCAGAATAATTTGACCCCCTCTGCCTTGTGGCAGCCCCTCAGATACTGGAACACTGCTATCGTGTCATCCCTATTTCTTTTCTTTAGACTAGCCAAACCCAAGTCCCGTAGCCGTCCTTTGTATGTTTTAGCCTCCAGGCCGTGGATCAACTTAATTGCTCTTCTCTGAATTTTTTCCAAGCTCTCAACATCTTTTTTGTGATATGGTGACCAGGAGACGGTGAGTTCTAGTCTCGCCTTAGCCATGAAAGCTGGCTAGTTGACTTTGGGCCAGTCACCAGCAGACGGTGAGTTCTAGTCCTGCCTTAGGCACGAAAGCTGGCTGGGTGACTTTGGGCCAATCACTGGGAGATGGTGAGTTCTAGTCCTGCCTTAGGCATGAAACTGACTGGGTGACTTTGGGCCAATCACCAGGAGACTGGGAGTTCTAGTCCCGCCTTAGGCATGAAACTGACTAGGTGGCTTTGGGCCAATCACCAGGAGATGCTGAGTTCTAGTCCTGCCTTAGGCCTGAAAGCTGGCTGGGTGGCTTTGGGCCAATCACCAGGAGACGCTGAGTTCTAGTCCTGCCGTAGGCCTGAAAGCTGGCTGGGTGACTTTGGGCCAATCACCAAGAGACGGTGAGTTCTAGTCCCACTAAATGAATGGTTGTAAGTATCTGTAGTCAATTTCTATAATTATGGTGCCAGCCATGATTGGGTTGATAAGATTGAGAAGGATTGAGAAGAAAGAGCTGGCCCTGATCTTTTGGGCCACTCTGTCCCTGTCCTTCATACCTGCCAGGTGAAACTAATCCCCATGAACGTAACAGATAGTTTCCATGACACACGGAAGCTGATTTTACAGATGACCTTGTTACCAAAGCACGATCAGGCAGAAGGACGAAGCAATGACGGCTTTGGGCTAGGAAGCAAGTCAAGTCCACCTTCGACCCCAGAAGCTCCATGGGGGACTTTGGGCCAGCCGTTCTCCCTCTCTCAGTACCACCTAACCGTGGTGGTGTAGTGGTCAGAGTGAATATTGCAGGCTAACTCTGCCCACTGTCAGCAGTTCGATGCTGACCAGCTCAAGGTCGATTCAGCCTTCCAGCCTTCTGAGGCTGGTAAAATGAGGACCCAGATTGTTGGGGGCAAATAGGCTGTAAACCGCTTAGAGAGGGCAGTAAAGCACTGTGGAGTGGTATATAAGTCTAAGGGCTATTGAAATATTTTCCTTCCTTCCTCCTTCCTTCCTTCCTTCCTTCCTTCCTTCCTTCCTTCCTTCCTTCCTTCCTTCCTTCCTCCCTCCCTCCCTCCCTCCCCATTTCCTTTCTTTT